CCCCCTTCCCTCCTCTCTCTCTCTCTCTCTCTCTCTCTCTCTCTCTCCCTCGTTATATGCAGTGTACACCCCGAGCACCGTTTAGCTTAATACCGGCCCAATGCCATTCCACGGCTTCGCGATCACCATCCTTCCTCTCATCCTGACAATACCTGGTTTGCAATGATCCGGCTTTTCCCTGACATGTTGGATCGCCTGTCGTACTATACTGTACTACACTGAACTGCACATCGAAGAAGAAGGGAAAGATACCTCTCGGAGGTTCGCTGCTCAATCGGATGTCACTCGCGTGGCTGATTTCGAGCTCTTTTTCGCCCAGCGGAAGAAAACTCGGTTTGGCCGTTGTGAGGGATGTAACGCGTGGGTCGGAAAGAGACAAGGGAGGTTGTCGCGATTTTAGAGATAACTTAGGACGAAATTCGGAGATTGGGGATAGCTTTCAAACTCATTCTAGGCGCCCCCCTACCATACATGAGGTACGATATTGTGTATCGTAAATTTATGATAAGTTCCGAGCGCTTAGGCCTGATTTCGAATCTACAGGTATTCTCCGCAACCGATTCCGTGGCAGATCGCTAGGCACGTCAATGGTGCGAGTACCGTAGTGAAGCATTGATCCTGCATTCCCGGATGTAATGCCTGAATGTGGGATTTTGCGGGGAATCAGTAAGGGTAAGTTATTATAACTTAATAGAGTGCGCTCAAATTACAAGTGCTAGTTTCTTTTTTTTGCTTTTTTCCCTCCGTACAATTCTGGTTGTGTGGTTCCGCTGTGTTCCGGCCGGGTTTAGTACGAGTACACTACTTGAACACAGCTCAATGGGCAAACAACTAGAAACGATGTCCAAGAAGTAAATTAGTTGGCAACATCTTTACTTCCTGACGGTGTGATCAGGTTCCAGATTTTTAGCCAGCTAACCCTCCCCGCCACTCCCGTGCCTTTATACGAGTACTATGTTAGTACGGTACAGGTACTGCGTTCGGGTATGGGGGTAAGTGATAAGATAGGCAGGGGTTCCGAGTCCGAGCGCTTGATACCGTTAGAGGTAAAAAAATTATTCGATTTGGTAGGGATGATTCCGGGAAGGGTAGGAAGCTTTGGCTTCTTACAGACTCCTGTCCATCCTCACCAACCCCCACACCCGAGCACGTACCTGTACTCGTACTGTACGAGTGCCTGCACTCGAGTACTCGTACATGCCGGAACGGTAGTGGTTGCAGCGGTGATGAGGGTGGCACTCGTAGGGTACCGGTACTGTACTGTACTATCACCCGTCATGTCTCTCCAGCGCCCTAAATTTACTCGAGTATAAGTACGCGCACCGATCGCCCCATATCTCGGATCACACACTAACTACGGTACACCAAACCACACTGGACCAGACGGGGTTAGACGGTATAAGTTACGCGATATACCCGCACAGGCACCCATAGAGAATGACCGTGGAGCACGCAAAACTAAGAAGCCAATCAAAATGTTGCGAACGAATGTCATTCAAAGTTACAAGTGCGGGGAAAACAGAACGGAGAGATGCTACCAATTCAGTGTTCGATTCTGAGGAGAGAAACAAAACGTGTGACAAGATTTAAGGTAAGAGAAAAAGTGAAAGAGAATATCACAAACGCCCAGTGGCTACCGTCTCGCTAGTACAAAGATCATAGGAAATCCGTCGAGAAGAAGGGCCTAGGCGCGCAGGTCTGCAAGACCCTCCGCCGCGCCGTTCGGTTTTGCACCGCTCTTCTCAAAGGCTTGAACAAAATCGTCGATGATGTCATCGATATGCTCGATACCTACGGAAACCCGGATGAGGTCCTTTGTGACTCCGCTATTGAGTTGTTCTTCATCGGTGAGTTGTTCGTGGGTAGTTGATGCAGGGTGGATGACCAGGGTCCTGTGCAAAGTAAGCCCATTAGCGGGGTATCTCACAACCATCTCTCAAGGGACAGGGCGTCTTTTTTTTCGTTTCTTTGCAAAAATTGAAAAGAGAAGGAAAAAAAATAGGGCCAGAAATAAAATAAAAATATCTCTAGCACCCCGCTCCGATCTGCAATCCGATACACGCGGGGAGGTGATAAGATGGTTCGTGTGGGTCAATAATCGGGATGGAATAGGGGGTGGGAGTGGGGTAGGGTCAGTCCGACTTACTTTGCGTCACCAACGTTAGCGAGGTTGGAAGCCAGCTTCAGACTGTCCACCATCGAGACGATTTGACTTTCTCCACCCTTCAATCCAAAAGATAACACTCCACCGAACCCACGCTTAAGGTACTTCTTCGCTATCTCGTGTGATGGATGGGATTCGAGTCCTGGATAAGATACCCACGCGACCCTCTCATGCTTCTCCAGCCAGCGTGCAAGCGCAAGCGTGTTGCTGACATGGCGCTCAACACGCAGACTCAGGGTCTCAAGACCCTGTATCAACTGGAACGCGCCGAACGGGTTCAAGCAAGAGCCAAGGTCACGGAGGATTTCAACACGGACACGGATGGCGAAGCTGATTGGTCCAAAGGTTTCCCAGAACTTCAACCCGTGGTAACCCTCCGACGGCTCGACAAATTGGGGGAATCGTGCGGCATTCTTCCCCCAGTCAAATTTACCGCTATCGACCACCACTCCCGCGATTGTCGTCCCGTGGCCGCCGATCCATTTTGTTGCCGAGTTCACGATGATATCAGCACCTACAGGCGGTTAGTCACAGCCCCGAGTGATAAACTATGTATAGCAGTGAAATACCGTGTTCGATGGGCCTGACCAAGTAGCCTCCGGCTCCGAATGTGTTATCAACGACCAACGGTACTCCTTTATCGTGGGCGACCCTGGCAATAGCCTCAAAGTCCGGAACATTATACCTCGGATTTCCAATACTTTCAATGTATACCGCCTTGGTCTTGTCGTCGATCGCCGCAGCAATGTCCTCAGGCTTGTCCCCGTTCACGAATTTGGTGTGAATTCCCAAGCGAGGGAGGAAGACCTTAAATTGATTGTATGTTCCTCCGTAGAGGTAGGAGGTCGAAACAATGTTGTCACCAGCATGTGCCAACGCCGCAATGGCCATGAATTGAGCAGATTGGCCAGAGCTAGCAGCAACGGCAGCCACACCGCCCTCAAGCGCCGCGATACGCTTCTCAAAGACATCGACGGTAGGCTAAAGTTGGAACCCTGTGAGCAATATCCCAAAGGAAAAAAGAAAACATCCACAAGGGCAGGCCGAGTTACGTTCATGATACGGCTGTAGATGTTGCCTGTGGTGCCATGGGGGGTCAGCAAATTATTGAGGATAAGGGGGGGCAATGGCAAGTGGCTCACCAAACTCCTTGAGCCCGAAAAGACGTGCGCCATGAGCGGAATCATTGAAGACGAAAGACTACCCCACTCAAGGTGGTTAGCTGAGCTCTGATCCACCCCACAGCTCGACATGTAGCGGGGAACATACGGTGGAGGCATAAATAGGCACGGCACGGGCGTTGGTGGCAGGATCGGGTTCTTGGCTGCAAAAATTTCACGTGAGCGACAAATCCCATTCCCTCAGTACATTCAAGGAGCCTCAAACAGACAAACAAACAAACAAACAAAGACGGGGGAGGGTACACCCACCCAGCATGCAAGCAGAGAGTCTCAAAGCGTGACATTTTTTTTATTTTTTTCTCCTGTGATTGTGGCGTGTTTGTGTGTGGAGGGTCACTCTTGAGGTATTCGAGGTTGAATTGAATAAAGCGATATCAAGGAAACTTGTGGTAGAGCAGTCTGAGGAGTGAAAGACGAAAGAGGGAGACGGAGATTGGAGGGGTATAAAGTAGTGAAGCTTCTCAGGAGCGTGGGGCACCTCGTAGAGGGGAGGGGGGAGGGGGAAAAAAACAAAGTCAGAGCACGCCATCTGAGTATCACAGTTCTAGTTAGCAAACACTAATAGCCATCACAAACCACGAAAAATTTCCACAACCAGCTGAGCCAGCGGGGAGTCCCCGTACCGGTAAGGAGAGCACGGCAGTGAAAATGCGATCATCAAACAACGGCGAGACGTTGTCCAACATGCTCGTATCACTGCTTTCGGGATCACAAGTCCGTAAACCGTATAAATTACCCATAGCGACTTGAACGCACCCCACAAATCCACAATTCTGCGAGTATGTCCACAACAAAAGCATTTCGTCCGAGTCTTTTCGCGTAGCTAGGAAAGGTTCCACTGCAGAATTGGGGCGGTGTCTGATACCGCATCCGTTGATCTTCTCATTTCTATGTACAGTGCCGTGTCATGAGAATGATTCCTAAAAAGGAATTGAATTGCCTCTCCACTTTCTTGTGTAAATCAGCGGTACCGCGAGTGGGAGGAAACGGGGAGCCGAAGAGCCGGTATATACGGGGAACCCCTCGTACAAAGTTCCCTGCCGAAAGTGCCAACCTTAATATGAGCCTCAGCTGAATAAGCCCCCACTTTAGCCGAACTCGAAGGGTTAGCTGGAGGTACCGTACTAGTACAGCGTATAGAGTATCCGGAGACCCAGGCATTGATCGATATAGCCCATGTCCTAGCATCCAAACGCTTTTAATGGCCAAGCCTAGGGTCCAACACAATCACGGTACGAGTAGACGAGTAGACCGTCTTGATAGGGTTTGTTCCTCAGTGATGACCATCCCTTCCCCGCGTGGCATCTGGTAATGCTCCCCAACAGCTCAGCATGGGCTCTCTTGCATAGCCAGGTGTGGAGCACAGCACTGTACGAGTACCGTATGGTACCGATAGGTAATCCATGGCCTAGACACCTGCCAGACCTGCATGCCCAGCCGTGGGGTGGTGGTCGCCGTCTTCACCACATCAGATAACCTTATCCAATCCACCACCCTGTTTTGCAGGCACTCCGGACGAATTCACTCCCTAATAAGGCAATCAATCCAGTCTTCTCGTATCTTGCGCAAAGAATGGGGACCCTTTTCCCAGAATAACTGGATCCGTCCGACCATCTGAGACACCGGGCAGTGCACTGCAAGTTCTTGCTCTCGCCCTCCGCTGTACCGGTGCATGCCACAGCAGAGGGCCCTCGTACCGTAGACTACCAGTACGAGTACAGTATGCTATGATCGGATACCGGTATGATAACTCATACCGTAGCTCTTAGGACGGCGATGGTGGGAGATATTATCATCTCCTATCATGCACCGGTTTCAATTACCAAATACCGGTACCGGCATCCTCCTATGTGCACTGCCGTACACGCTATATTTGGAAAAACATCACCCCAGAGGTTTCATTCGATGAGGCGCATTTTAGTTTCACTATACGGTAATGGTTAGTGAGCACGATCCCTAACCCTGACGTTAACTTTATCTGGATTCGGAAAAAAATGATACCCTGTCGAAATAGAGTAAAAAAGCAAAGCTGTGGGGGAAACAATTCTGCATCTCGCGAAGGAAGTATCGACTGGCCTGTGCCCTACAGAAATCATGAGAATCGGACCCTTAAAAATCCAGATAAACGTGTGGCTTTCAATCCCAGAGCGGCCGGTGCAGACAGGGTGGTAATCCCAGGGCCAGCCACAGTTTTCCCTCTCACACACACCAACCTCACCACGGCAGCAGCCTCACAGAACTCTTGCTCGCGACACCTCCGACCTCCAATAAACCCGCCCGGAACACCATATCTGCCACAAACTACCATCCATCGCAACACAGCCGTCTCACTCGGATAGTGATCGATATGGCGGACCCTTCATCGTCTGTGTCGCCTCAGCTCCTGCACCATCTACACGCGTTATGTATAATGAAATATCCTCAGCAGCAAACAGTACAGCCTGAGCTCCTGGTCGAGCTGCTTTTGAAGACTCCCCAAGCCGCTCAGCAGCACCCCTTCACCTGGATGATGATCGATCCACCACAACCGGGTACTCTTATGCTTTCATGGAATCCACCCCAGATGGTCGGCGTCTGCCCTTCCGATGGCTATGTGTGGGCGGATGCTGAGGTAGTTCATACTGTTGAAGTGAAAGGATATGTTCGTCTTTCCTCCTCCTCCTCCCCCCCCCCCTCCCCCATTCCTCCTTCGTTCCTTGGCTCCGTTGGTGGTGGCCCTTTTTATAGCCTCTTTATATATATATACACACATAATGTTTGGACATCCACACATACACACACACACAATGTAATGAACGCCTCCCCGGTATGAGGCTTCCTGTTGCGTTACATTATTGGCGCTGTTACATCGTGCTTTCGCGGCTCTATGCTACGATCCGCGATAAATACCCGACCTTCTCATTTCATTTCTGCACCCCCACCTCCGTCCAATCGCCTTGACCGCCTGGTGAAGGATATTCCCCGCTACGTACGGCCGATAAATGCGATGCAGCTTGCGCATTCGCTGCGCTTGCTATGATCCCGCCTGCTGTCTTTCCTTTTTCTTCCTTGCCCCTTTCTCCTGGTCATTTCTCGTTGTTGTTGATATTACTCGAACAATTATACTAGCCTCTACTCCAGAGTGGGAAGTTTTTCCAGGGCCACCACCACAAGCACGAGTGGAAGAAAGGAAAATAAAAAGAAAATAAAAAGAAAAAAAGAAAAAGAAGGAAACCAGCTAACGTGACCGGGAGGCCTTAATAGCAAATTGAGATTCACTACCACAAAGCCGGTTACAACCCAAACGTGCCCAACCAGTCGCACGCTATATTTTCTCGGCGTAGATATCGCCTAAAACCGGGCCATCCATCGACCCCCCCGGAAAACGCGAACCTCTGGTTCCTGCACTACCTCCAAGCGGAGCGTCAAAACCACGTTCCCGTCAACACGGTGCCCTTGACAAGCAGTATTCGACAGAGCTTCACCGCACGAAATTACATCACCCAACTTTTCCAGACGGGTCAACTCCCGAGGAAGGAGTTCTACTTGCCCGACCGGAATTCTTGGCCCATAATCACATTGCCAAATCAGCAGCAACAGCAACAACAGCAACAACATCCCCAACCGCAGCAGCAACAGCAGATCCAAATGCAGGCTCAACAACAACAACAACAACAACAGGCAACGATGCAAATGCAAACCCCTCAGCACAATCGACAAATCTCCCCGATGAACACCCGCGCGACCCCGCAGCCTCAACAATCGGCTCAACAGGTATACTACACACCCGCACGTTCCAACGCCAAAGCCCCCGGTGGTGCCCCTCCATCGGCAAAGCGATTGAAGCCGACTCCTCCCGGTGGTCACAATCACGCGGCAGCGGCAGCCCAGGCCGCAGCACTGGGTGCCGACCCCTCAATGACTATCGACGAGGAGGAAGACACGTCGCGCGGTGACATGCTCGACCACCTCAGTCCTCGCGAGATTGCGACGACCCGGTACATACAGCATCACGAGTGGATGGAGGAAGTTATGGGCTCGCCGTACGCAATCGACAAGATCGAACCCGTTGATCTAGGCCTTGGCTTGCGCGGCGAGCTGGAGATGGTGACAAAGGGTCTCCTGGACCCACCCGCGTACCCGCCCATCCCGAAGCCGCCGCGTGCGGGAGATGCGACCAAGGAGAAGGAAAACACCCAGGCGGAAATCCTGGAGGAGCTCCGCCCCCGTGTCGAGGCTAAGATCAGAGAGATGGAAGCGGAAATGCTCAGGATGCAAGAGGCCCACGCGAAGCGCCTTCAGAAGATCAAGCAAAGCGGCGTGACCAAGGATGCCGAACTAAACCTCCGAACCGGCCTTGGCCTCACTCCCCAGCACCAACAACCCGAGATTGAAAACCACCAAGTCCACACCCCCGGCAACGAAATGGAAGATTGCCATTCCGAACCCACCACTGCCGCAACCGCGATCAAAGACCTATCGGCGGTGGAAGAGATAGTCCGTGACGTGGAGCACGCCCTCGGGAAAAAGGTGGTGGAAAAGAAAATGCTGGCAAAGCACGGCCTGCCCGTTGAAGAGATTATCAAAATGGGCGGGATAGTGGCTGAGGGTGATGGCCAACCAAACCTGGACACAATCATGACGGAAGATCTAGACGGCGACGGCCACGACAATGAGAACCAGCGGGGTGACGATGCGGGAGGAGGAAATCTCAATGGGTCCACTACCGTCGACGACGAATTCAATCTCGCGCTGGGCAACATGCCGGACGAGAATGGTACCGACTCTTCGCGTCAGTCGGAGATGGGGTTCCCGCATGTGCTTGATAGTGCTGCGGATGTGCCCCCCCCTCCACCGCCTCCGGTGGCAACAACGGGGGCGCAGGAGGAGGAGGAGGAGGATACGATTATGAATGACTTTATGAACGTTGATCAGGATTCGAAGCCGGATACGCCCAATGTGGAGGAGAAGGAGAAAGATGTTGAAAACATCACCGCCCCTACCACTGAACCTGCCCCAACCACTACAACCGCGGCCGCTACCACCTCGCCTCCAGGCACAGACCAACAGCAACAGAAGGCCAGTGAAGACGTAGCTCCGGCCGCAGCAGCATTCATGTTCTCCCCACCAACGGAGAAGGTCGGCGAACCCACCACCGCCACCGCCAATACTTCCACCAGCGACGGAGGCGGAGTTCCAAGCGCGGGGATTCCGGGACTGGGAATGGGGATGCCAGAGACGGGGAGTAGTTAGAGCAGAAAGTAGGAGAACCTTGTATCATACAGAGAACTCCCACTCTTGTTTTTTCCTTCTTTTTTTTTCTTTTTTCCTTTTCTCCTTTTGCTCTCCTTTTTCCTCTTCCAAAACACTTTCCCTTTTTTTTTTTCGCGGTACGGTGCCCGGGTCTTTTCTATTAATGAGAATGTCAAAACACCACCCTCCCCAGGGAAATAGAGTAGGGTTGTAGTCATGGAATGTCACTCGGATTTATATCAATCTACGGCACGCCCCTCGCCCAATCTGTCCGTCAGGATGACGGATATACCGTAATTTCACGGGATTGACACCGTTCCGCACCGCGATCGCTAGTGCTCGCCTAACGGAATAACCACCGCAGTCCGCGTGGGGCAGGAAAAGGCAAAACTCGCTCGCCGGCTCGTCTGCACACTCATACAGCAACAGAAGGTCGGAGCTCACGGATCCGTTTGCGGCCCCCACTATGTTCCAACCGCGACGCCACCCAGGTACACAGCCATACACCGTTGCCCAGACAACCCCCTGCCTCTCCAACCGTTTCTGCACATTCTAAGAGAGACGACACAGTGGTGAAAATGGTACAGTGTCGCGCGGGAGTATGAATAACATAGCGGTAGGCCGAAACCGAACCACGAGTGCGATGTGTAGCGTACTGTACTCGTAGCGTAACTGTACCATACATGTACTCGAGCAAGTCGTGCATCACGGGCGCGCGAATGGAGCACCAAAGAGCAGGCTCGGCGAATGACGAGCATAATGCTGGGTTAGGTCGTGGCATACGTCAGCGTCGGTGGGGCATAACGGGTCTAAATTAACGACAGGGTGCGGCATTACAGCAACGGTATCAGGGTCAGTCCAGTGGCGGAAACGGATTCGCTTGTGATGGGATCCCTGAAAAATGGTGGTATGATACAGGTTACTGTACGAGTACTGTACGGTACGATAGCGGTACCGGTGGTACTGGCAGTGGTGGTTGTTTGGAAGGGAAGGGAAGGGGACAGTACCGGTATCACTACCGGTATCATACCCCAGAATACAGAACAGTGCGGTACAGCACGGCACTGCACTGTACGAATACAGCGCCGGGCAGTCAACATGATACCGGTATCCTATGCCTACGAGTGGTTTCCTGAAAGATCGGGACTGTGCTTCTTGTCCGCTATTCTCCTCCTCCCTTTGTTTGTCCGTCCATAGGAGATTTACCCCCCACCACCCACTGCTCGCACCCAAGTTCCAAGGCACTCCTCATCTCCAGGGCACTCCCGGAATATTAAAAGCCCAAGCCTCCTGCACTTGGCCATTATTTATTATTATCACCGTCACTACATCTCTCTTTACTCGACTTTCCGCCACCGTCATACCAAGAAGATAGGTACGCGTAACATCTCTCCCTGTACTGCCCCGGACACTTGCGCAATGTTTCCCCCCCCCCCCCCCCACCAGCACTTCCCCACCAACACTTTGCCTACTGTACCCACCCTCCTCCATCCACGCAGTCGTTTTTATCGTCTTTGACCTTTGCTGACTCGATCGGATCCAATGTTTTCTTCACACCACCACCAGGTGAGTCCTGATGCTGAGCCTCCTCCTTCTTTCACTCCTGGCCGAGCGAGCGAGCGACTGCGTGGCCACGGCTGGTTGCAGATTTCACTTTTCGAACCTTTGCTCTGCTGACGTTTCCCCTCCTCTTTCCCCCCCTCCGCTCTTACAGGTATAACAGAGAGGGCTTGGTCCTTGATCGATCTGTTGCCGCCTTGAAATTCCAGGCTACTAGTTGAATTTTTCTCCTACTCCTCCCGCACAAACTGTTACCACATACCCGTTTGTCCCGCCATTAATACTGCTCCAACTTCAAGGAGAGAGAGCGCTCACTACAGCGCAGGTTGGAAACAGGGAACAAAAAAAAAAAAAAAAAACAGACACAATGGTCAACCCAATCCTTCTCCTAAGAGTAACTCAGGTTGTCCTCGCCTTTATCGTTCTTGGAGTCGCCGCATATGTCGTGGACTTTTACAATGGCGGCATAGATGCTCCGAATTTCCTGGTCTTTGATGTGAGTTCTTTCCCCTCTGTCACTTCCCGAGCATGCGCAGATTTCTCATGCTCAAGATGCTAAACAAAACATTCCAGTCAGTCTGGACCTTTATTGCACTCGGTTACGTCGTTGTGACGCCAATGTTCTTTCCCGACTTCCACAATCGCTGGGCCGTTCTCGGCGTCGAGGCTATAACAATGGTATTTTGGTTCGCGGGTTTCGTTGCGTTGGCCGTGGAAATCAACGGCTGGAAGTGCATTGCCGGTTTCGAATGTCCGATTTCGGCGGCAAGGGCGGCAGCTGTGTTTGGGGCTTTTGAATGGTAAATTGCTTCCGCCACACAACAGTGGCAATTGAGATAGGAGGACTGATGAAAATAATGGAGTAAATAGGCTTGCTTGGGCAACTTCACTAGGCCTAATCGTCCGCGCGCTCATCCAGTACGGAAAGGCGGAACCGGACGTTGATGCAGGTACCTTCCCCAGTGATGACACAACCCCTGGCCCTGGACCTTCGGATGTTGAGAGAGGTGAACAGTTTGATCTTGGTCTTGGTGAGGGTGGCGGTGCGCGGAAGTATGAGGGAGTAACACCACCACCGAGGTTGCCAGATTTAGCGGAGTTGGGTGGCGGTATCTCTGGGAGCAGGGGCGACGAAGGCTTTTATGAAGGTCCTAGGTTGGACATGCCGGAGGTGGACAGGTTTGGTGGACGCAGATGATGTGGTATGACTACTGGTATGTTTTCTTGCTATCTCCTGGGTCAGGTTCTGGGGAGTAGCGATTCCAGTTTTCCTTTTATCGTTGTTTTCTTTGGCTGGCTTGGGTGATTTGAAAAGTACCGGTACTGTACATTATGATATCCTTGGCTCTTTCTTCTTTCTTTCCCCTCTCTTCCTTCAGGGGCGCAGTATGAGGGCTACCGTTGTGTCGTAACTGTGGGGTTCAGACAGTTGGGGTTTCCTTTGTTGGGCATTAGCAGATTTTCTTTTACTTTTTTTTATTTTTTTTTTATTCCACTGCCGGATTGATATCAGGGATTTATGTGCTTCTTTTGTTGTATAGACACCGTCGGACGGTGGAAATTTCGCTCTGTTATATCTGGGGATAGCGATCGGCCCTTTCTTTCTTCGTTTTTTTGTATGATACTGTGCAGTAATTGCGCTCTGTAGAGAACGAGGAATGAATCATGAATTGTCACTCGAAAGCCTCCCGAACCCGGGGCCGTGTGATGCTGCCCGATGTGGCTGGGGCGATGATGATGGAGAACGGGAGAACATGGACGGGCGTTTGAAAAACTAAATGTGGGAAACATAAAATTTTGGCGAACGGGTTTAGAGGGGCGGATGATTGGACTAGCTCCCGGTTGGTTGAAGATGCAGATGGCCCAACAGTTTGTATGCTAGTACAGTACTCGAGTATAGCGGCTACATCACACTACTCGAGTACCGAAAGACAAGGCAAACGACGCAAGCACCCTCTCTATTCTACTCCACTCTCCGACCCCTCGCCCCCCAATCGAGAAGACGACGGGGACGGGGGGGGGGGGGTAAAGCTCTAGGCCGGCTCTCACCATCCTATCGTATGATATCATACAAAGTGCGATGCCTAACCCCCGATTCCGTCCCGAGCTTTATACGAGTACGGTACCGTACCGTATGATAACCCGTGCAAGCCACATCCCAATCGCGAGATCCAAAGTCGCGCCTGTGGTACGACATCTAATAGAGCACGATACCATATTCCCAATAAGTCTTTTATGTATATTCGTTATCATAGCTTTTCACATACTACCGCTGGGGGACATGGCAGTCTACTACCGGTACTATGATACATAAGTTACTCGCGTATTCACTACAATACGGTACCGGTATGATACTTGAACCGCCATCTCTTAGATATATATGATGATAGATAGGAAGGGGTGGTTTTTTTTTGGGGGGCAGGGGTGCAAAAAAAAAAAAATCCAAGGAAGGGAAAAGTGAGTTTTGCTCAGCCATGGCTTACTGTACGATATGGAAACAGTAAGAGTAAATGGAATAAAAATACGGTAAGCGAGTGGCGGGAAGGCGATGCCGATATCCTAGCGGGAGGCTTCGATCGCTTCCGTGTGGAATACGGATTTATCGTATATCGTATCGTATGGGTGTATAATACTGTACAGTACCGGTATCATGTCAACTCGCTTTCCCTCCCGTACCCCGTATTCCGGAGGGTAGCCTCCGTGCGCTCGTACAATACTAGTATAATACGTGAGTGCGTATTCGTATGATACCCCCTTCCTCCTTCTCATAATCCCTGGTCTAATTATATGCATAAGGTGGAGAATAAATAAATAAAGAAGAAGAAGGGAAAAGTGTGGTAGTTTAGCACTTTGGTTGTCCGATCATACCGGTTCATATTATTATTTGTCTTTGGAGTTTGTACATACCGTACAGGATTAGGGTTTAGCCTAGGGGCTGCAGTACAGTACCGTATGATACGGTAGAGTTCGGATATGTATGTATCCATTTACATACAGGAAGTCTGGTCTGGGTCGACTTTGATTGTCCTTTATTGGTTGGTGGTTATCAGGGATCGACTTGATGGTGGGAGCGGTGGGCGTGGAGGATAGTAGCTTAAGGTCATGATGATGTTAGTGTTGCCTTTTCTGTAGGTATCATGGCAAAGGTATAATACTGTGCTGGTTTCTGGTCTTGGACTTGTCTGAATATATAGCACATTTGTGAAGTTTGTCTTTACATTCTTCTTTCAGGTGGTCAAAGCCGCACTAGTAGAACTTTGTGGTATTCAAGTTATCTTGCTAATACTTACTTGAATAGTATTAGCTTTTCAGTATCTTTCGAAAAACAAACAAGAAAACCTCAGGTATGATGTCATCCATATAGTACCCAGTTGAGAACTTAGATAGTGAAGAGGAAAAAATGGTCTCTTACAGACTTTCCTTTCCTGTTTCTCTCTTGGAGTACCAGATACCAGATACCAGCTACTAGCAGTAGATTCCAAACCATAACTCATACTAACCACTACTAGTAGTGTATCTAAAAATTATTTCCTTTACTATAGTTAAAAGTTTATTATTAGATCTCTGCAGCCACGCACTCTTAGGGTTTTAACTTATCGCCACATCGAGGTAAATTTACGCTTCCAGGTCGGTATTCTGCAAAGCGTGGGATATGACAATTACTACACAGCATGTAAGCATATCTCCTGATAAGTGCAATTTCCTTGACGCCAGTCTTTTTCAATAGGCTGGAATTTCTTCCCTGAAATGATGACGACTATAATAGTTCTGGAGCTCGTTTACTTGGCACTATTTGTACTTTTGCGAAAGAATTCTTAGAACTGTAGCTTCTGCACAATTCATCCGAGATATTTTCTTTCCGGGAGCTGTTAGACTTGGCCGACGTAAAGTCTTAGCTCTCGAGCATGATTCTAGAAAATATATGGAAAGGAGCTTGATACGTTGGTACGGTGCCCCACAAGTTTGTATCATATCATTTCCTAGGGCATCGATACACTGCAGTGGTTTACTCGCATGGCCGTGGTGGAGTTGGAAACTTGGGTTGGTAATTCCTCTGTAAAGCGCTCAAGGCCAGCTCGGCCCGAGCCGTAGGTGCCGGCAAGGTTCCGGAAGCACGGGGGAGCGTGGCGGGTCAATTACCCGTATGGATTCGGTATAGTTTTATTTTTCCCTTCTTTCTTTCCCCCTTTTCCACTTTTGAAATCTGTGGGGGAAAGAGAGAAGTGACCGTTGTTTGGTAAATCATGGTTGATATTCAAGTGCTTGTAGTGGTACAGTACAGTACAGGTGCCTTACAGCACCGTACTACCGGAGTAGGCAGTCGCATGATTTTCGGTGGTGTGCGGTACCGTAGCTGCCTGTTCCCGTCGACAAGTACCGTACCGTAGCGCGGGATCTGGATGCGGATTGAGGGTGCGGTGTTATGGAGACAGGGGGAGGGAGGTGGCGTAAAGTGCGGGTTACTTTTACGATACAGTACTCGAGTACAAGCACTATGCAGTTCAAGTGCCCACGATAAAGTTGGTGAGGAGGGAATTCGGGCTAGCGGGCCAAACCACTTGCGGGAAAATATCTCCCCCAGCACTTGCTCAATGCACTCGGCGGCGTCAGCAGGAGTCGAAAAGCGGGAACAGCGGTAACTCCTGTCTTTGCAGAGATTTCATCCGGGATCAGCAGAGATGGACTTTATAGCCGCCGCACCGGAGCGCATTCGTGATTTGTGCAATGCTGTTGTTTTGGTAGACCGTAATAAAACACCATGTACCGAGCGCGGGTCTGGGTGGTCAGGAAGTGGGCGAGTGCTTTGCATAAGTTACCCGTAGCGTGCCGGTAGCATCTACAGTACCCGAGCAAAATATGAATCTGTGCATACTGCGCACCACTCTCCTCTCCACCCTTTTAAACCTCTCTCCATCTCCATAGCTTGACATGGTCGGGCGCAAATTTAAGGAGGGGGCGCGCGGGTGGAGAGATTCTTGATCCATTTGTCGTCCAGTAATGTAAACGAGGGACCAATCCTCCCTTTGGATCTATAGAACCGAAATTGAAATATGAAGGGTGGCTCCAGGCAGCGGGAAGCTGCGCATATCGATAGGGCGTCGAACATTGCTCGGCCGGGCTTGCTGTAATGCCGTACGAGTACAGTACTCGTACAGGTACACAAGAACTACGAAGTTACTGTGCTCGTACGGGATGGGCACAGTAAGATCTTCACAGTAAGATCTTTAATTTAAATCCTTACCGTGCTTGGGTATTTATACTAGTACTCGTACAAGTGCTCGTGGAGGAAGTGCTGCGATAATCCGGGACTGGTACCGCCACCGTACCGTACTAGCACAGTACCGGTGCAAGTGCTCGAATGCTCAAGTACGATACCGGTACCCCGAGCATGCCGCCATTCCCCAGCTTAATGGTTGAGCCTCGCCATTCTGTGGTCCATCCTGGGTTTCGGGATCTCTGCTCTATCGGAAGCTCCTAAACTCTGAGATTTCCCCTTCAACCGAATGCGGACGAACCAGCCTAATTGGGACTGGTGCAATATCTCACCCCAGCAAGGTCTGTACTCGAGTACGAGTACCGGTACCGGTATCCGGGTACCGTACGTGTATGCCCGCTCCGACCTATTTCTGCTTATCCCGCAAGTACGATACGGTACTCGTGTAGTCAGCGGTACTTGAGCCTCCGACCCCAAACCCAATAATCAGTCTTGTAGCTCATCACTCCTGAAATGGAAATGATGGATCGATGCAGTGGGTGACCACTGACTAACAATCATACTGTGCCCACGCACGAGCAACATTTCCATCGTGTGAAAATCACGGAGGGACCGTCCCACTCATACCGTAGCGATCATCCAACCACTGGTTTCCCCTTCCATTAACAGACCCATCGCCGCCGGAACCATACATGCACGATTAATGTCATCTGTCGGAGGTTGCCCTTTGAATTGGGCCGTAGCCACCGGAACCTTAACCCGCCCAGGGACCATTCCGTTCATGCCTGTATTCCCCCCCCTTCCCCGATTTTCACGCACTTTTGGTATCGTATAGAAGGAGGTTTTGATACCAAAACTTGACGATTGCCGGTAGCTGGAAATGTCACTAGAACTATAATGACAATAACCTGGCTGATGATTCTTCGAAGGGGACCTGCCACCCGTCACGATATCAGGGTACCGGTACTATCAGGCTGTCTGCTCCTCAATCTTTGGAAGGCACTAAAGCGTATCGTGGCGAGGGCTTACTTAGATTAATGGGGTAGCGCTACGAGTGTAATACGGTAGCTTGAGAGCACTCGATCTGCGCGCTAGGTACGAAGAAGCTAGTCGACAGTTCCATCACGAATACCTATCCGATCACGGATACGGGTACGAATTCGTATATGATCACCGGTACAGCATACGCTCCCATACATGCACGCGCACACACGGACAGACGAGGCACAGAGTGCTCGTACTTGTGCTCGTACTGTGCTGTATGGCGGTGGGTGCATATCGCAGTTTCTGTTCTCCCCTACTCTGCTCAGCTGGATGGGTTTGGATTGGCAATGTTTGGCATCCGGCTTCCGTTCTGTTCCAAACCCGGGAGCTGCCGGTATTACTGCGCCGGCGATGTGCTGTGGGGTGGGATAACTCCCAAATGGAGATCACCCGAGCACGGCAACAACAAGAATACGAGTACTGTACCGTGCAGCGTATATATCGTATTATATATCCAGCGCTCGTGACCCTATCAGCTCGAAATGGCGGAAGAAGGGTTGACCGTGCCATGGATGTCCGGGTCTTGGCAAACCCTCCCATCAGGTACGGCGGTCTGCCATGTGATACAAGTGAGTTCACCTTTTCCCGCGCGGTATGGTATGAGGCACTGACGGTCACCGCGTTTGTTGCGTCAATCAGGGGTTCGAGCTCCGGAGTTCGAGCTAGTCTGGCCAGGATTTTCCCAATAACCTCACCCTCTCCGTCTTTGACACAGTACGGTACGAGTACGGTATGGTATGATACGATTTATCATATCGTATCATACTTCCGATCAACAATTACCCGTACTATGACCAGCTCCGTTCCCCCCCCCCCTTGCCCTGATTTGTGGAACCATGATGGCTCCGCTGTGCTACCGTAATGCTTCTTTCCTTTCCACTGTTTTTTTTTTTCCCTCCCTAGCGTATACCTTTTACTCCTGTTGTGTGCCGTATCGTTTCTTTCTCTCTGCTTCACTCACCTCACCCCCCCTCCATTCTTTCCATTGCCGTCCGTTAAATACCCAAGGGTCTACCGCGCAGCTCGTGATCATGGTCCAAACTCGGTCTCAGACTGGAAAGACTCCAAGGTACGTATGATGTGGATACGACGCAATTCGTTTGTTCCTTTCCCCCCCTTCCCCCTCTCTGTTGTCATTTGCTCCCGTTTTGCTTCCTATTCCCCTCGCGATTCTAACACCCCCCCCCCCCCATAGGAAGCAGGAATATCCAGGTCTGGTCCCGACACCAGCTGTTAGGCGTTCACGTCCCAGTAGCGTTAAGCCGACACCGGAACCCGAATTCGAGCCCCTCACACCGTCCCCGACGCCTGAGAAATCTGCTTTCGAGGTCGTGATGGAGTTCAAGTTGAGGGGGATGCCCTACGGGGAGAATGGCTCAGCCAATGGATCGACCGTTCCCAAGGGACCCGCGGCGAGTGACGTCGCTGCGAGGGACAATCTCAAGATGGGCTACGATCACAGGGTCGACAATAGCGGTGAATTCGAGTTTGGGGGCGTCTGGGGTACTGGGCTTGTTATGGTCTTCTTCCCGCTGCTCATGTGGTACATGTGGGTTGGCCAGGTCTACTACAATTCTCAATTCCCCATGCCGGAGAAGGGAGAGGCGATTGGCGATTTTGCAGCCAAGCTCGTAAAGTTGGCTTATGAGGTATGAGGAGTTTGGATGTTTTTTTTGTTTTTATCTTTCCCCTGTACGTGTGATTGCGCTACGTTTTTTTTTTTTTTTTTTTTTGTTGTTGACGGAACTACGGATAGTGCTCGTACCCTACAGGAAAGGCTTGGTTGGTCTACTGGGGGTTCTTGGCTTACCAGAGTTTACTCTACGTCACGCTCCCTGGTGTCTGGGCCAAAGGAAACCCCATTCCTCACAGGAACAACGTTCGCCTCGATTACTACTGCAATGCCATCTGGGCTTTCTATTTCACCATCGCCACTGTCATTGTCTTCCATGTGACTCGAATTCTCCCAATCACCTTCTTGGTGGACGAGTTTGGGTCCCTTCTGAGCGTTGGCATTCTCTCAGGTATTCTGGTCAGCTTTGTGGGCTATTTCAGCGCATTATATCGGGGCGCTCAGCACAGGATGACTGGGCGATTTGTCTACGATTTCTTCATGGGGGCTGAATTGAACCCCCGTATCTTTGGTTTAATGGATCTGAAGATGTTTTTTGAAATCAGGCTTCCCTGGTTCATCCTGTTTCATGTGTCTTGCGCTGCCGCCGTTAAGCAGTACGAGACTTTGGGATATGTCACTCCCCAGGTTGCTTTCTTTCTTTTGGCTCATTGGCTGTACACCAATGCCTGCTGTAAGGGAGAGGAGCTGATTGTCACTACCTGGGACATGTCGCACGAAAAATGGGGTTATATGCTCATCTTCTGGAACATGGCTGGTGTTCCTCTGACCTACTGCCATGGTGTTCTTTATCTCGTCAGGCACGACCCTTCCATATACCGGTGGTCCACTGGTGTCAATGTCTCCCTCTACGCCTTCCTTCTCTGCGCGTATTATGTCTTCGACACGTGTAACAGTCAGAAGAACAGGTTCAGACAGGTGGAAAAAGGAACACTGGTTGTCAGAAAGGCCTTCCCCCAATTGCCATGGCAGACCCTCAAGAACCCCAAATTCATCAGGTGCAAGAATGGCGGCACACTACTCACCAGCGGGTGGTGTAAGTCTGCTCGACCACAAGTGATGTACATCTCGTGACGATAACTAATCGAGCGTTTTTACAGACGGCCTCGCCAGGAAGGTTCACTACACGGCTGACTTTTGCCAACTGACCTCCTGGGGCTTGATCTGCGGCTTCGCCAGTCCCCTCCCATGGTTTCTACCCGCCTTCTTCATGACTATGATCCTCCACCGCGCCTGGAGGGACACCGACCGGTGCGCAAAAAAGTACGGCGCCGACTGGGAGGAGTATAGGAGACAGGTTCCATACCTATTTATTCCCGTAAGCCCCTGCCACCCCTCCTCCCTCTCTACAAAGCTAATATTTCGAACATAGTACGTTATTTAAGCATCACCACCGCCACCGGAACCTCACTCCGCTGCATGCCAAAAAGAAACTGCTAAATCTCGTGTTTGCCCCAATTGTTTGTCATTTGCCGGCCAGTTGTGTGCCCTTTGGGCGGATAACAGGAAATGTGGAGCTTAATAATTTTTCACTATTTTCTTTCCTGTAGATAACGCCGTTTTTATTTTATTTCCTTTGATGACGGTTGACGGGAACTGTTGTGACTATTATTTTTCCTAGCGTGTTTTGGGGATGTGTGTGCTGGCTAGGTTTATGAGCCTGGGCCTTTATTTTAATGTTTTCTGGATGCGGTGGGAGGGGTAGGGACGTGAAGTGTACGGTAATGTATAAGGAAGGAAGGAAGGAAGGAAGGAAGGAAGGTGGGGGGGGAGCATGTCATAGAATGTGCCGCCGCATAAATGATTTCAAGTACTAGTATCACGGTACAATTGTACTTGTATTCTACCAAATGTTGTGGAAATAGCCGTAGCCAATGCTCACCGACAACTCTGGGCACCAATGAGCACAGTACCGGTAGCCCCGGGTGCGGTGGGCAAGCGCCATAGACATATCATACCATGTTCTATGATATATTTGCTAATGGGGGATGGTGGCGCAGTCGTCTCCAGAAGGATTCTGCACCTCTGCATAGTGGATGGTGATACGATATCATAGTCTAGGACTGGGGGGAAAGGGGGGCTAGGATGAAGAGAGTGATTGCCCATGATCTTGATGGTGCCGGTCAATGGATGTGAGTCAAGCCTCAACCGATATCCTCATAACAAGTAGATGTTACTCACTCCCTTCGGACAGCCGACTGCGTTAACACAGTTAACCAGCAGAATCCTCCAAACCAATCAACCAATTGCGGTAGTCGACAACGTTCAAATCCGACACCTACACAGCATATACTCTATCATAGCCGTTAAAGCACACCTCTACCCATTCGTCCAAAAGAAATTATAAACACCAAGGTTAGTGTAGCGTATTGAAACAACCATCTCATACACAAAAAGTAGGAATACAGCAAGAGAATAATTCCTCCCTTTTCTTCTTTTCTGCAAAAATCACTCCTCCCATGTTCTGAGCGAATGAAATCTCCCAAAAGACCAGATCCAAACGATATCAAAGTGAAGCTAGGTAATAAAAAAATATAAAAAAAAGTGGGTAACTTAGTAGATAAAGGAATCTGTCTTTCTCGCATATGATACCTAGCCCCCCCCCCAACGCTTACAAAGGTCTCAAAGAAAAGATGGAAAAATAAAAAAGAAAAGAAAAGAAATTAAAAGAGTTCAAGTACAGGAAAACGAGGAACAAGATGAATCTGAAAACAAAAATCCTACTAGTATGTTACGTTACGTAAACCCAGCAGCCCGCTTCCTCCCGGGCTGCCCTCTACTTGGTCCCGATACCAAAGCAGCATTGTTGTTTCCCGTAGTAGAGCTCTTCCTCTCCTCAGTCCTAACCGCCCATTCCTCCTCCTCTGTTGCAATAATTGAGTGGAAAACGTGCTGCTGGCCACGGGCAAAGTATGCCGGCGGGCACTCCCTCTTTGAGACTGCTTCTGTAACGAGCACATATCTAATACTTGATCCTGGTGACTCGAACATGGCATCCGAGAGAATGCGCTCCATTACTGTTCTCAAGCCGCGGGCGCCGGTGTTCATTGCTATAGCAGATTTGGCAATTTGGCGGAGAGCAGGGGAGGTGAAGCGGAGCTCTACGCCACTTAGGGCAAAGAGCTCGGTGTACTGTTTTAGGAGCGCATTTCGTGGCTCCGTGAGGACACGGACGAGCATATCTTCGTCGAGGGACTCAACGGCGGCGATTATGGGGATACGGCCGACCTTTCCGACCATTGTTAGTCTTCAATTTGTGTCATTAGTAGGGATGGGAGATACGATTTCAGGAATGAGTCCAAAGGAAATCAGATCACTTGGCTCCGTAAGTTCTAATGGATTAAACTTCCTCTTTTTTATCCTCGTCTTCGTACCAGGTTCATAGTCAGCTTCGTCCGCTTCCTCGACGCTACTAGAGAAGAACGGTGTAAGCTCCTTCATTAACTCTTGGTCCTCAGCTAACTCATCTACCGAGCTGCCACGCACGTGTGCGTTAAAGCCGATAGAGCCCTTAGCGACCCGATCTATGATGTGCTTTTGCATGCCGATGAAGGCCCCGGTAAAAATAAAGAGGATGTTGGAGGTATCGATCGTGAAGGTCTCCCCTTTCGCTCCACCGCCTCCGGCCATGCCTGCGCCAAAAGAGGAGTTTGAACTGTTCGGAGAATTAGGGAGGCCAGCGGGTGGGCGGCGCTCTGGTTTGGTGCTAATTTGTAAGGTAGTACCTTCGATGATCTTGAGAAGAGCTTGTTGTACGCCCTATATTGCTCATGATTAAAAAATATACCTCTCTCACCGTATCCCGTTGGGAGTTAGAATATACCTCTCCAGATATGTCTTTACTACCGTAAGGGGATTTCGGTTTTGCTATCTTGTCAAACTCGTCCAGACAAACAATTCCGCTTTCTGAGGTCCCGTTAGAACACAGAGTCCTTGGTGATCGAACAAAACACTACGCACCAGCTCTTCGAGTATCCCAGTTAGCTGCAGCGAGTAATCTATGGATACAGACATCTGCATCTTCTCCAACGTAACCCGCTTGTGTGAATGGTGTGCAATCGGACCTATCGGTATTAGTTCGTAATGCTCGGGACACCCGAGTGAGTTCCTACATTGAAAACGGAACTTCTAATACTCGTGCAAGCGTCCGTAGCATAAGCGTCTTCCCTACCCCCGTCGGTCCTAGGCAGAGCACGTTGCTCTTTTCAATGGTCAACGGAGAGAGATCGCAAATAGAAGAGCGATCCCCTTTCGGCGGTACATGGACAGTCCTTGGCTGATGCTGGATCTCCTCTGCTGGATTCCCGTTAAATGCCGCCCGGTTCAAACCCTCTTGAAATCCAAAGACCCACCATCCAGTATTTGTGCTCCCATAGCTTGACTTGACCTCAACACCTCATCCTGCTCCTCCTGCCTTTGGTGTAATTGCTGAATCCGCTTGTAATGATGGTATATCGCCGTCGATAAAATTCTCTTAGACCTATTCTGACCCACAACGAACCGATCCAAATGGTGCTTCAAAGCCCTGCAAAGGGATCATATTAGCCCTAGAGCTCAAACAACTTCAGCAATGTAGGCTGCGATGGTGGTGGCAGTGGTGGTCATGTACCGTGGTGTCAACTTGTTAATGCCAGACGAAGCATCTCCCAATGGTCCGAATGTCGGCGTATCGGTATCCACCCTCGAACTAAATCCCGCACCCCCAAATTGAAAATCGGAAGGATCGTAGGATGACATCCATCTCCGAACTACCGCCAAGGACGACGGCCGGATACCTCGGTACAGTAATGGGGGGCGCCCGATAAGCATGATGGTATTAAGCTCTGGTGAGATGGTATGAAGCTGCGGATGGGAAGGAGACGGGTATCCGGAGGTGGGAGTCGGAGTATGGAAGGGGGGGGGTAGAGCGAGCTGGTGGTGTTAAGGGGGTTAGACTATGGAGCACAGCTCTCCCTCGAGTTACCCAGGCATTCCACGTTGTATCGAGCTCCGGCTGTTCGTGACTAAAGCGACTTACCCCACGTCACAGGACAATAGCCGAGTGTACTCGAGTATCGGTAATAGCATGAGCGCCCCAGATTTCGACGCTTGTCGTGCAGGTGCATGCCCGTTCTATGGTATGATACCAACATTTCCCAGGTTTTTTTTTCTTTTTTTCTTGTGGCATTTCTGGTCCTGCCCTCCACTGACCGAGGTAAAGCGGCGGGCCGCACTCTCACTGTAGGGGCCTTTTTGGGCATTGTGCTATAATATTATGATATTACTTGTGGGCGACGAGCATGGCATAGTATTTGAGTGCCGGTACGGTGCTATACTATGCTGTGCAAGTATCATAGTGTGCTATCACACAGGAGTGGGGCTCCGGTGTGCGGGGGAGCATAGTCTATCACAAGTATTTACTATTCTGGCAACACGGAGTAGACTAAGCTGCTCCTGTTCCCGCTATTACTGTACTGTACGAGTACTGTACGAGTACGGGTACTAGGCCAGCCCAATAATTCCTTCTACCAATCTACCAATTCCCATCGTTTATTACCAATACTACAGATTTGGATAGCTTTCCAGAAGCCCCCAATTTGTTTCCTTCAACCGCCACCGTACAGTCTAGTAATGCTCCGGTTACCGTACCCTGCCAGGCCTAGGGCTGATTCCCATGCTCTCTCATACCATGTCCTACTCTAGTACGGTAACTTACAGCACCTCTATCCCTCCTCTCGATCAAACATCTTATCTGATCTGATGGGATCATCATACAAGTAGATCATCATTACCCTCAATCTGCACAAATGAGCCCATAACATGATTCCTGAGTACACTGTAGTGTGGCCCTGAGTGTTTATCTTAGGGATGCGACCATGCTAGTGGAAACCCCATTTGGAGAAGGAAAAAAGCCACCATATTCGCAATATTTGCCCCGAGTCCCGGGCCAGTATATCCAAACCCGTGGCACCCCGTCACCCAAAATCACTGCATTGCCGTTCCAGCCAATAGGAGAAACAGAGCGGTGACAAGTTGGAAACTTTGTAGTTCGGAGGGCGGTGGAAAGCCTACCGGTACTTAGCGGTGGACAAATACTTGGGTTGCGTACCGTATTAAGAGAGGCATCATGAGGATCTTCCCTGTTGTGGAATATCTCCTAGGCTCCACGTACCAACTCGGTCACGGTCATCCGTATTTTCTACTGAGTTGTGGATATTGGCATCATCTAAAAATGGTCAAACATACACTATTCAGAATCACAGTCAACCACTCCCTGTGAGCGGTGTGGTGAATGTATCACGCCTAGGATCATATCCCTACCGAATGGATGACATACAGGGTCGGAGGTTCCCGTCACTCTCTGTTCCCCCTTGAACAGGACATTCCAACACACCTCTCTCTAGAAACATTTGGACCTGATCTTTTTCGCAGGGCCGCATGTCTGGGATGTATGATATCCAACTCGTCCCGCTCGTGATATGCGTCTGTGACCAAGGGTGGTGCCCTAGATACCTCATTTTGGAACTTTGGGAACCCTTCCCAATCTCCTTAAAGGAACACCACTTTCTCCAGAGGCTATAAGTACACTATGCCTGGCACATAGTTGCGAGTGGATCTATTTGCTTATTTCTCGAAGAAGAAAACATTCGTGGAATATCCCGGGGGTATAGTACCCAGGCAGGTGATATATAAGTGCAGATCCCGAGCCACTAAGAGGGGACCACCGTCTCCCGTAGTGGCTGACAGGACGAATTGTTTTCCTATTAGAGTAGCAGCAGTAGCGGGGATAGGTTACAGAGGAAGAACAGAAAAGGAGAATAGGACTGGGTCAAATTATGATTATAACTAGAATTTTATCTCGGAGAAACTGGGAGGCAAAGAAATGTTAAGGGAAAGGAAAGAGGGCTAGGAAGATAATTAGACTTGCTGCATTGTACCCGTCGCCCCGGCGGTGGTCCAATGGCTGTCCAAACGGATCCGGGCATGTAGCAATCTTTCTCAGCAGTATGATATTTGACCGCTGCGTATGTCTTCTACCACCAGCCACTATTTAGTTGAGTGATTTTCCCATTCGGCGCAGTACCCTTAGCACGGTAATGAGATTGATATGCCAAAGTGCAAAAAACATGCCAAAAGTATGATTGCTCCAGCTCTTAGCTCTCCACAACTCCCCACAACTCCCCACCACTCCGCGCCCTTGAAGCAAAAATTGATACAATATCGTAGAAAAACTCTCAATATGCTCCCCGGGATATTGGAGCCCGATGGAAGTTCCTGTCATTTTTCCCAATTGCTTCGGTAGAATGGTAATCGAGGTAAAATACTGGTATCGTACCTTGTGAATCCTGGGGCTCGGGGCTCGAGTACGATCATACTGTGCCCACCAAGGCAGCGCACGCAAGGTACGGAAGGGGAGACTGCTTTAGACGCTCAGTTCTCAGGTTATGTGGTGTTAATAAGATTGATGTGTAGTACCGGTATTTCAGATGTATGCCTGCTTGACGTCCGTTTTCCGCAGTTAAATTTGCTGAAAATCGGTGGAGTTTTAACCCCTCCAAAAACCTCGATGGAAGAAGGGTTCGTTACCCGAGTACCCATACTGGCGCAGTCTGATATACTCTACCCCACGGGTCTTCACTTTGTTAGTCACCACTCAAGACATATATTTATGTGACCAATAAACCAACATATTCTCCAAGATTAAGTTCTATATCGTGAAAAAGATATTCGGTGTCCCATTTGCCCGAATGTGGTACTGTGGATCGGGGATTCCTCACTTATACAAGGCAATTGTTTCGCGTGTTATCGGAACGTATGATGCAGTGCCAAGCCGTTACCATGGTCCCGGTGCGAAGCCCTCACGGGTCAGTAGGAGGCCGCTCGCCAGTCTCCCTGCGCTCCATCTCCCCCGTTTTCTCCCCCTCTCCAGCCACCGTCATCTTTCCTCTCCCCTCATTCCCTCTGCCTTGCACACCTGTTTTTGTTCATCATGCTGAAGAGGTTTGCAATCCTCTCTTAACGAAACCGGGTTTGAGGAGTCAATTGCTGATGCCCCGCGTTTGGTTCCCCTAGCGGTCTTGCTCGATTGGCTGCCGGGAGGCGAGTGGGGGCTGCTTCCCTGAGATCCGCCTCAGTAGTCAACAACAACGCCTTCAAGGCTTTCAAGCCTGCTCTACCTGTCTATGGCGCTCGTTCCATGGCCACCGCTCCCGATTCCTCAAGAGTCGGGAAGATCCATCAAGTCATTGGTGCCGTCGTTGATGTGGTATGTGCCGAGAAAATTTTCATCCAGGGAGAATTCACCCACCACGGCCACATCGGGATCAGTTGATTAATGCAAACACCACCCTCTAGAAATTCGACGGCGAGCAATTGCCTCCTATTCTCAACGCCCTCAATACCGATAAGCATGGGAATAAATTGGTTTTGGAAGTTGCCCAACATTTGGGGGAGAATGTCGTTCGTTGCATTGCTATGGACGGTATGCGGGACCCTACCTAGAATCCTCGGATTGGTGATCTACCGATTCAACAAGCGCTGATGGACACCCTTAGGTACCGAGGGTCTCGTCCGTGGTCGGGAAGTTCATGATACTGGCGCTCCTATCAAGATCCCCGTTGGGCCAGGTACCTTGGGACGTATTATGAACGTCACTGGCGACCCTATCGACGAGCGTGGCCCTATCAAAGCCACAAAGATGGCACCAATCCATGCCGAAGCCCCACCATTCGTCGACCAATCTACAACTGCTGAAATCTTGGTCACCGGTATCAAGGGTAAGAGTTGTCCGTTCTAACAGAGAAGGATTTCATCTGATTTTATCCCTCTCCACTTTTTTTGCAGTTGTCGATTTGCTCGCACCATACGCTCGTGGAGGAAAGATCGGTCTCTTCGGAGGTGCCGGTGTCGGAAAGACTGTGTTTATTCAGGAATTGATTAACAACATCGCAAAGGCTCACGGTGGTTACTCCGTGTTTACTGGTGTCGGTGAACGTACACGTGAGGGTAACGATCTGTACCACGAAATGCAGGAGACGCGTAGGGTTTACCTTCCTCTAAGTACTCATTATCACTCACTAACTTAGGGATGTTAAAGGTGTCATTCAGTTGGATGGGGACTCCAAGGTTGCATTGGTCTTCGGTCAGATGAACGAGCCCCCCGGGGCTCGTGCTCGTGTTGCCCTTACTGGCCTTACTGTTGCCGAATATTTCCGTGATGAGGAGGGTCAGGACGTGCTTCTCTTCGTACGTGACTCCACCGTCCGTATATTAGATGCGGCATGCTGATTTTTTTCCCTTTTATTTCCCTCTGCAGATTGACAACATCTTCCGTTTCACTCAGGCGGGTTCTGAAGTGTCTGCCTTGCTCGGTCGTATCCCCTCTGCTGTCGGTTACCAACCCACCTTATCTGTAGACATGGGGCAAATGCAGGAGCGTATTACTACCACCAAGAAGGGCTCCATTACCTCCGTCCAGGCTGTGTACGTGCCCGCCGACGATTTGACTGATCCTGCCCCTGCCACTACCTTCGCCCATTTGGATGCTACCACTGTGCTGTCCCGTGGCATCTCCGAATTGGGTATCTACCCCGCTGTCGACCCACTCGACTCCAAGTCCAGAATGTTGGACCCTAAGATTGTCGGAGAGGAGCACTACAATACCGCCACCCGTGTCCAGCGTATGTTGCAGGAGTACAAGTCGCTGCAAGATATCATCGCCATTTTGGGTAAGAACTCGAACTGCCTTTACCCTTCTCTATAACTTATACTAATGGTGTTGGCTGGTAGGTATGGACGAACTGTCTGAAGCCGATAAGTTGACTGTCGAACGTGCCCGAAAACTGCAACGTTTCTTGTCACAGCCCTTCGCTGTTGCCCAGGTCTTCACTGGTATTGAGGGTGCTTTAGTCGACATCAAGGACACCATCAGATCGTTCAACGAGATTATGAATGGTAACTGTGATGACCTACCTGAGGCTGCATTCTACATGGTTGGAAACATTGAGTCTGCACGGGCAAAGGGGGAGAAGATCTTGGCAGAATTGGAGGCTAAATAGATACCGTAGACGTGGCTGGTGTTTAGAAAAAAATCACCTTGAATTGGGGTTTACGTGCGTACGTAGGGCGCAAAGCATACGGTTGTACATGGTTTTTATCTCCTTTGTATGCTACTCATTACTCTCAGTGTATTTCGGCAACCAAAATTTTCTACCCTCTATTCTGATAGCCTCCTACGCACGTACAGTGGATGACTCCCGAGAGTACCAGTGGGAGTGGATCAGTCTCTTCCATTGTGATATATCATTCACCGACGTATAAACCCTGGACTAGAGCACTAGAGTCGAGAGTATATGCGCTAGAACCACAATTTTTTTCCGTACCCTCTACTTGATGAACGAGTGATACATGATGAACATTTCTACAATCGAGCTGCCACGGATGATATAAAAGTATATTCGACGATCACTACTTCTTGTGAGGATACTGTGACGCGGGAAAACCGTTGGGTCTTCCATAGAAATGTCGAAGCCCGCGATATGCCGGGAAAACCTTATAAACCCGGAGTATCATACTTGAGACGTTAACCCTCCTTACAAACTGCCGGGTAACCCGACCCACCAATACAGTAGCTCTACCGGTAGCTAAGTTCTTTGAGACAGGGTTTCCTCCACCAAATAGAAAAAACATCCTTTTGCTCCTGAGTTGCTGCGCACCCTTCGCTGGAGAGCTCTCAAGATGGTAAAATCGACACAAATTGCCCGGTTAGACGGTATGTCTCTACCCCTTTCCGAGCCTACCGACGAACGAGCCCCTGACTCCACGCATTTCTCCCCATGAATAGGTGTCCCTCTAGCAGCCACCGTCGACGACGACCAAGCGGAAGCAGAACTCGCTGAAGTGAAACAGCAGTGCAAACTGATTTTCAAAAGACTAAATCAGCATTCCGAGCCCAGAGCGAGTATTGAATCTGGCCCTTTTACCCTGCAGTAAGGCAACCGACAATTCCGGAGTTCTTCCAGACTGCACACAAGTTTCCGTCAGTTGCTAACGGTGTCGGTGAAACAGCTACATTATCGAGAACCACGTATGCTACTTGTGCGTTTGCGATAAATCATACCCACGTAAACTCGCCTTTACGTACCTCCAGGACATCGCGGCCGAGTTCTACTCATCGTACGGAAATGAGCTCACGAATCCATCTTTGCGACCGTATGCGTTTGTCCAGTTCGACACTTTCATGCAGAGAACCAAGCGCACATATCAGGACACGAGGGCTAGCGCGAACTTGGACAAACTGAATGATGATCTCAAGGATGTTACGAGGGTTATGACCAAGAACATTGAGGATTTGTTGTACAGAGGGGATTCGCTAGAGAGGATGGGGGATATGAGCTCAAGGTTGAGGGATGAAAGTAAGAAATATAGACAGACTGCCGTCAGGATCAACTGGGAACTTATGTTGAAGCAAGTATGTTGGAACAAATTCCTTTCCTCTCGGGAATGGCCGGGGCTAACACCATTCGTATTCAGTACGGACCAATAGGCATTGTGGGCCTGGTAGTGCTCTTTTTCATTTGGTGGAGATTTTTCTGAGCGGTAGTAAGCATCTCGTATTCCTCTAATGGTCGAGCATCTCTTTCATTGTGGACACGGTTGAGCTGGGGACAGAAAAAACGGGAAATTTGGAGTGTCGCGACTTCGGCTGCCCTCCTGTTATGCCTTGATATCTAGGTGTATGATATTTATTGTACGACATGTAGACTATTCTTCTGTAACGCTTGTCTGAAAAGAAACCCAGAACTGTGAGACCCTACGATGCGGGTTCATAGTATGTTCCAAGCTCCCGTACCGTGATGCGTCGAAAGGGATAGCCCTGTGCGTCCTAGTATGCTACCACAGACGGATGTATGATACTCGTACAGTACGGTATCCCTCTGGGATTGCTCCCACGCTGCACGGTTTCAGGCCCACTGGAGTACCCTATCGTTGTCAGTGCCCGGGGGGAAGCTTGGCTAGCATGCTGTGCTGCATATCATATCAAGTTAACTAATCCACGAAACCGTTGAGCCCCGAGCGGGGGGGGGGGGGGAATAGGGTGTGCAGCATTACATTACTGGTATAATATGATACCTACAAGTTCTCAGCCCATATCAATCGACGGACACGGCACCCAACACTGCGCAGTACTCGTACATGGTCGTGATTACAGTAGTATGATATAATATTACCGGTATAAGATGATCCACTTGTATGCCGGAAATATTTAGCACAAGGCCTGTTTCCCCACTCGTTTCCCACTAGGCTCGCTTTTTATATAGAAACGGCAGCTTGAGGCTGGAGGTTAGTACTCCGTAAGAGCCAACAGCTAACAGCAGCGGCACCCGGCACCTATCCCTACTCCGATCCAACCTGAAGCCAAATATTCCCTCTCGATCAGGTATCATACTGGTATCGTGTAATATCCGTGGGTATAAACACAAGCTATTTTTGAGAGTTGTGCCTTCATGCTATCCAGTGTTATATCATATCATACCTCAGCTGGCAGAGAGTTGGGGGACAACAAGGCTCACAACACCAGATCGGTATCACAACTCCTGGCACTGTTGTACTTTTAGGCTCCCAGAAGCATCGCCTTGAGTACAATAGGATACCTGTGCTCGAGTACGCATTGTCCGCCGCACCCATCCTGGTTAACAGTGCTAACACGGCGGGGTAAGTCTGAATAAGGTTATCTATTACCAGCGCAGCTATCCTTCCTCGCCCCACGATCATAAGGAGCACATAATTCAACGGCATCACTGTACGATTATTACCATAGTAATGACCCAACTATCATACGGGGGATAGAAGTTGGCCGTGCCGGGATTATCACACCACGCTGTTCGCTTGTCCTGCCGAAGGCGATCATTCATCCATAACTAAACGTTATTCCCTCCGCTCTACCCTTCAATCCTTCAATCCTTCCTTCCTTCTTGCATTCAGCCCCTGCCGGTCACTCACATTTTCACCCGATTCATCCACTGTAGCTAAATGGCGTATAGTTGCGCCTTGCAGAGCCAAAATTCCGCCTCAAAGAACCATTCGTCTTCCCCCTCTTCTCTGAATTCTGGGCGCAGATCGTTGCTACTTGTACCTTCCCTTGTCGTCCCTCATGCTAAGGTTGCGGGATTGTGTACTCGTACATGGCAGGCCCTCCGCCCCACGTGAGAAATTCCCCGAACCCAAGCTTACGGGACGCTGTGAGCCTTCGCTGCACGTCTACCCAGACACTCACCTCCGCATTATTCGCCACCCGCCTACCCGCCCCGTCCCTGGCCGCCGCGCTCAAGGCAACAAAAATCCCACTAATCGAAGACGACTCGGCACCACGAGTCGTCGTGCCCCGACTCCTAGTTCTGGCGGAATCCACCCCCGACGAAGGAGTTCAGACTCTTTCGCAATACACACACCTCGGCGACGGCATGGATGCTGAGCACTATCAACACTCTCTGGATGAGGAGGACGACGACGACGAGGAGAGCAGTTTCGTTCGGGGCATCACGGCCGGAGGACATGACCATTCACGGGATACATCTCCCCCAGAATTTTCTCACCAAGGCTTTGGACGACAGCAACTCTCTATAGATCCGGCGCTCCACACGTCACCCCCGGAAAATCACCCCCATCATCATCTCCATCACCATCACCATACGGGCCAGGACGGCGATGATGATGATGATGATGACGGTGATGATGATGATGAGGGCGATGGATCCTCTCACCACAGACTCCAGCAATCACAGCAACAAGTCCAGAATCATTTTGTGCAATCACAACTTCCCCGGCAGATCTACACTGACCTCGCGCGGAGCGCGAATCAGTTCTCGTTACAACACCACGCCCCTGACCAGTTATCGACGCCTCCGGCTCAGTTTCAAGCATCGTCTCCTGCGCCCGGGAAAATCTTGCCGACATTCACACCATCGGATCGGAGCCTGCCCGATCGAGCTGTCACGGACGAAACGTTAGACGATGCCTACGTCGCATTTATCTTATACTGCAACCCATCCGTGCCACTGGATTGTGACACGGCCGAGCTGCGGAAAGCCTTTAGACAGCCTCCCAAGAGCGATGGCAAGACCTTCAATATCCATCACCTCCTCCAATTGATTGAAAAGTTTGAAGAGAAGGAAATCAAAACATGGACGAAGCTCGCGATTCAACTGGGGGTTGAGAGAACTGCGGACCAAAGCGCGCAGAAAGTCCAACAGTATGCAGTGAGATTAAAGGTGCGTCTGCTCGTCAAAGGATTCTTTCTTTCTTTCTTTCTTTCTTAATCATTAACACAAGGTGCGCAGAGATGGATGCACGCGATGCATATCGACGCATTTTTCGAATACATTCTCAACAAACCCCACACATACTACCAACATATCCCTCACTCTTTACCTTCCTCTGACTCCCCAGATCAGATGCGTGACGGCGTGCCTATTGAGGAAGACCTGGCCTTGCGCGCCTTACATCCAGAGACTCGTCCCAAGCGTGGCCGACGGAAAACAGATGACAAGGATGATGGAAGCGAAAAGGATCTGCCCGATCCTAAGCGGCCGCATATTGATAATGAAACTCCCACAACCGCGGACCCCACCAGCGCCATGGAACACTTCAGTAATTCCTTGTTTCCACCACACCCCCAGTCCGCGGTTCCATCTAGTGCTGGAGGAGATGGGATGGAAAGGTTTCTAGAAGAGTCAGATCCTTGGGCAGCAGCTACACAATCTGTCCTAAGTGGTGGGGGGAACAGTGCTACACCTACGGGTGGACAGCAGTTTCGGTGGAGGGCTTTTCCAAGGGAAGGAACCACACCGCAAAGCGCACATCCACCTCCGACCATACTCACATCCCATGATAACATCACCCCTCAGGATGAAATACAGACACCTGTTTCGACCACAACCCCAGTATCCGCCTCAAAGCCACGGTCCCGACGGAGGCATGGGCCAGCCGTGTCCTCTGCCTGGCCAAGCTCCGGGAACCCTCTTACCGGAAAATTGAGAGGTCGACCACCGAGCAACAGGTCCGTTAGAGATGGCCCATTTTCAACATTCCCGGCTCACCCTACGGGTAAAGGCCATACGATCGACCTTAGTAGTCCGGGGGGCGTAACCGCGACCCCGGCCTCAACTCCCGTCACCGCTCATGCACCGCAACAATTCACATTCAGGCCAGAGCAACTGCACCTAACCGTCCCAGCAAGGGTCGGCGGTAACACCATTACAATGGCATCACCAGCCTCAGCCATGACCCCATCACCTCACGTGAATGGTAACTCCTGGAAACGCGAAAAAAGCCCACTGGGGAGAGAAAGCGCGAGTATATACGCAGCACCGGGGCTCGAGGACATCGAGCGGAAATTCTCCGTGAGTTTGTTACAGGCCCAGTGTCAGGATGGGTTGGTATTGGGAGTGGACGACGCAAAGAGGATAGCAGACAAGATTGTCTCCACTCTGAAACGTGCCTGGCCGGATGGTGGAGGTGGGATGGATGACAAAACCGTAGCAGCGCTCCTGGGCTGTGGCGGTGACGGTGTCTTCGGTGAGGTCAAGGTTTCGAGATTAGGCGGAGACTCGGATCGGCGAGACTTGGATGACTTAGGACTGGACGTTGACGATGGCGACCAGCTGGGCGGCCGGGGAGATGGCGAGAGGAGGTTCGATGTCCGGTGGAGTATACAATTTGGCTCCGTCAAGGGCGAATTCTCGCAGATTGTGTCTGTTGGCAGAAATAGCGGACTAGACCATAACAACAACCCTTCCGACAGTGATCTCGGCCAACTAGGTGAAGAAAATGATCGGGTACTAAAGGAGCTGGAAGACCTTGGAGACTTCAGCGGAGGAGTTAACGACGACCCACATGGAGAAAATACGGGTAGCAACAATGATGCTAACAGCACTGGAAACGTCGAGAAGTTGAAAAAGCGAGTCCTGGAACTAGAGCGGAGTTTAAAGGCTAAGGAGAAGGAAATTCATGGTATAAGGGAAAATGTTCTCAAGGCTGTGGTTATGTGATTTCTGGCGCTGGTATTCATCCAAAATATTGCTCTGGACTGGGGGAAGAAAAAATCTGAGAAAAAACTGAAATTTTGAGAAAATGAAAAGACTATGGTAAGAGTTATTGGTCGCTGTTCCCTCGCCGGACCCCCGGCGCATGGGGCTTCTGAGAGATGCCTTTCTTCGCTTCATTCGTTCCCTTATGTTTTCCTTATCACCACATTATCATCATCATCTGGGTGGCCATCGTCGTCTTATCCATTATTCGTTTGTTTTCCTTCTCTCACCCTTTCACCGGAGGCACAAGTCTTGGTCAAAAAAAATTTTCTTCTCAAATTGGTCCATCGGGGTTTTTGATTTACGAGCAAAAGAAAAAAGAAAGAAAAAAACGCTTCTGTTTACTCACTTGTTTGTTTATCTGGGATGTGTATCATTAGCGGGATTGGGGGTGCCGGTGCGTCATTGCAGTATCTTGTGTTTTTTGTTTTTTCTTCCCAACATGATTTCGGTGAGAATCTGTGTGGTTATGTGTGATTGCATGTGGTGGAAACACGAGTAGTTGATATCGGGGTTGGGCCCGCTGTTGCTGTGATCCGTTCTCTAGCGTGCCGTACGTCTCGGGTCATAGGGCGATAGGGGATGTGGCTTCAAGTGTCATATCGGTTCTGTGGTATTATACGCTTCCACTTCCTGCTCGCTCTCTCATTTGGGGCTTCGGGCCGAAGCGCTGGATATCCATCCTTTCTGGGCCGTCATACTAAATGACGGTAAATGCCGAGTGAGATACTATGAGGCGCAAAGGATATTGAATTGCGCGTGGGGTGGTGATTGTTAGGACACTATACTCGAGTACCGGCAGTGTTGGTGGGTCAAATTCCGGTTACGCATTACTCGAGCATTGAGGAGGGGGGGGTGTTTTGTGGGAGAGCTCGCTTGGAAGCATTAGTATGATAATGCAGGCTCTTTACTGGACTGGAGTGAAGCTTTCGGTATCATGATGCCGAAAGCAAGGCACAATTAGTCGGCGCTTTGAGTCCACGGCGCCATGGCACTATACTAGATTATTTTTTATTTGAGGCCTCGAAACCCCATTCTTTGGGTTGCCGCTCCATTGCTGTCCGGTTGTCATATCAGTAGGTGATCGAGCACTGCACGAGTACTGTACGAGTACTCGTACAGTACTTTGGGGGTGAGCATAAGTGAGGCGAAGTTGCTACTTGATTGATTTTAACTGACCAAGGTTTGGTGAGTGTAACCATGGAAAATACGGTAAGCCAATCTCGGCGTTCTTTTGGAGGGCGAACAAAGTGAGGCGAACTCAAAATGCGCTAGTACGGGTACCGGTACAAGTACCAACCCCAAAACTTCCTGCTCTCTCATTGGCCGAGTGACCCAGGAACCGACAAGATCCGTTCCGCCTCACTTATCCTTAACCCGTACGAGTACAGTGGGTGGAGGGGGAATCTCCATACGGTACTGTAGATGGATGGACGTCCTCGGGCGCCTCCTACTGCAAATCCCGATATTCGTATTGTAAATCGGGTTCCATGCATGTGCGAAATTGGCCATCTGTCCTGTCGGGTCCGTGCTTGAGCCTGGTCTAATTATGGCTCCTGTCATCTCGATGCCGGTACGGTTACGGCTGTTGAGTCAAGCGCGGGAGCCAGGCATGTTATCGTACTACCGTACTAGTACTCGAGTACCGGTATTGTTACCCTTGGCGTCACGAATGGCCCGGTGGTCGGCGTACTCGTACAAGTAAACAACCGGGGGCTGTGGTGCTTACACTGTGGCCGGAGTGGCTTTTGCCGAGCGCTTCTGATGGGAATTGCGGCTCTACTTGGAGTGGGTGATTCTCTGCCCATTAATTTAACTGGGGGAAAACGGGAATATCTCGCGCTTTCATTGTGATGACAGGAGGACCTGTTACTGTAAAGTATTAGTACGGTACTGTTAATTTCCTTGGCGTAAGCGGTTAATGGTTGCCTGTCAAGGGATCGGTCTGGATCAAGGCAACACTTGGCAATGTAAGATATTGTCACTGTCACCATGCAAGTAGCGGTACCTGTACTCGTACTGGTATCATACGCGATAGCGCCAGAAATCATGCCTGACGAAAACTGGGGGATGGAAAGTGTGAATTTACGCTACTGTAGGTAGGGAGAAGAAGAAAAAAAAGACACGATTGGTTCTCATGATGGAGTGCGGAGTGTCAATAACATTGTCATAGTCCATGCCCGAACAGGGGTGACGGACGATGCAGATTGATGCATCATTTTCTATTTTTTTTTTGGAGAATTGGTGGTGAGGAAACCGTGTCTGGATCAGCCGCAGCACATTGTGCTGGATTATACGCGTGCCGAAAATCCTGGCGCAGAGCAGGATGCAGGGTTTTGGGGCCGCAGTCCCGGTATCACTTCTATGGTTTCCGCCGCGCTATCCATCCCTCGCTTCGTTCTACTGGAGAAAGTTCCCGTCTTGAACCATCAACCCCCCCCCCCCCCCCGCCCACCCCCTGCGTTGCCTATACGATTGCTGTGAACTCATTTCTGTACTGTACCCGTACCGTACGGTAGTTCCCTCTCTTCTCTTCTTCATTCTTTGATACCCCATACCCTTTCCCTTCCCTCCCTCCCTCCATCACCTTTGGCGTTCGAACCCCCAAACACTGTCCGCCCGAGAGCGTACTATTGTTTTTCGTTGGATTGCGGAAGCTGTCCTCAGCCTCCTTTTTTTAATTTTTGTTTTATACTTTTTCTCTTGCGGAACGGCTACGTCTTTGATATAGGGTCTACCTTTTTTCCCGGCGTCTAGGCTATGGCGTCGAAAAACGGTGCGGCCTACGGTACCGGTGCTGAGTTGGATCCTGCCGGGACGAGGAGAAGAAACGTGCCTGGTGAATCACCAGTCGGAGGTGGTGCTATTGTGTCAGCACCGGAGGATACGAAGAAACAACACAGGATTGTGAGTTGCTGCGGTTGTTGATACAACCTTTTTCCCTTCAAAAAACAAACAAACAGAAAAACAACCTCCCCCTTTCCCGTGCTTTGCCCGGAAGAGCTACAGTACAGCTGGCCTTTTCGTTCTGCTTGGGCGGTAATGCTTACTGGGTGAAACCTTTCGGTGATTGTAGGATCAAGCTGGCGATGTGGACATCGAGGCTATAGGAGCTCCGATATTGTTCACACTCTTGTCGTTCTTCACGAGGCTGTACAAGATTGGGCAGTCTAATATCGTTACATGGGACGAGGCACAGTACGTCGACCCATTTCCCTCCTCAGGCTTCTGGCTTTCGTTGGGATTAAGGGGGCTCCGGGTTTGGAGGAGCTGATCCGCGATGGTCATGATCGCTGACAGGGATGTTGGGTAGCTTTGGAAAATTTGGATCTCATTACCTTAAGCGCGAATTCTACTTCGATGTGCATCCTCCACTTGGAAAGATGCTTGTGGGTCTTTCGGGTTGGATGGCCGGGTATAATGGCTCTTTCGAGTTCAAGTCTGGGGAAGTTTACCCCGAAGAGCTCAACTATACCTTCATGAGAGTCTTCAATGCTACCTTCGGAGCTCTGTGTGTGCCTCTTGCCTACTTCACCGCTAAGGAATTGAGGCTTTCCAAGCCTGCAGTATGGCTGGTGACTTTGATGGTTTTGTGCGGTATGTTGGGGATCCGGAATTTTATGTAGCATGAGCTGATATTTGTTTCGATGCAGAGAATTCCTATGCCGCCATCAGCAGGTTTATCCTACTCGATTCTATGCTTCTGTTCTTCACCTTCACCACTATGCTTTGCTTCGCGCGATTCCATAGACTCCAGACCAAGTCTTTCTCGCTCCAGTGGTGGCTCTGGCTAATTCTTTGCGGACTCTCGATCGGTTGTGTCTGCAGGTGGGTTTGCACTGATCCGTTATAACTGGCGCTTACTGATCCGCGCAGTGTTAAATGGGTTGGACTGTTTGTTACCGGAGTTGTTGGCCTTTACACTGTCGAGGACTTGTGGAACAAATTCGGAGATCTTAAGATGCCCAAGGTTCGTTTAGGCCTTTTCTTGCCCGTGAAACACCAGCTCATAGTGCCGTAGATTGTGTATGCACAACATTGGATTGCCCGCATCATTGGCCTTATTGTGATCCCCATGGTTGTCTACATGTGGAGCTTCTGGATGCACTTCGCTATCCTCGAGAATTCGGGTCCCGGAGACGCCCAGATGAGCTCTCTATTCCAAGCTAACCTCAAGGGGACGGATCTTACCGATAGCCCATTGGAAGTCGCTATTGGTTCACGTGTCACTATCAAGAACATGGGTTATGGTGGTGGTCTCTTGCATTCCCATGTTCAAACATACCCTGAAGGATCCGGCCAACAGCAGGTTACTTGCTATCACCACAAGGATGCCAACAATGATTGGTACTTCCATCCCCACCGTGGCCAACCTGAGCTCGATCCTGAGTCATCAGATCTCCGTTTTGTTGGAAATGGGGATACAATCCGACTTATCCATGCTCAAACCGGTCGTAACTTGCATTCCCACACCGTCGCTGCTCCTGTTACCAAGGCCGATCATGAGGTTTCATCCTATGGAAATCTGACCGTTGGCGACGAAAAGGACCACTGGACCGTTGAAGTTGTGAGTGATGCTGCTGGGAGAGATTACAGCAAACTCAAAACTCTCACAACTGCTTTCCGATTGAGACACACTGCCTTGGGCTGCTACCTCAGAGCTGGAAATGTCAATTTGCCTCAGTGGGGGTTTAAGCAGATTGAAGTTACTTGCGCCAAGAAGAATAACCCAAGAGATGTTTTCACTCACTGGAACGTCGAAAGCCATTGGAATGAGAAGCGTAAGTTTGAACCCTTTCGTTCTGGTAGCATCAGCCTTGGGGTGCGGTTTAACATTTACTGTTACAGTTCCAAATGCGGATGTCAAGGCATTCAGGTCACCGTTCCTACGTGATTTCATTCACCTGAATGTTGCCATGATGACCTCAAACAATGCTTTAGTTCCAGATCCCGATAAGCAAGATGACCTGGCATCTGCTTACTGGCAATGGCCAATTCTTCACGTTGGGTTGAGAATGTGCAGTTGGGATGATGGCATTGTTAAATACTTCCTTTTGGGCAACCCCATGGTGTACTGGGGATCGACTCTGACACTTCCCCTATTCTTACTTTTGGTCCTTTTATACCTCATTCGATGGCAGCGTGGATATAACGATCTGCGCGGCGAGGAAATTGACCATATCCGCGCCGCAGGAATATACCCTCTCGTGGGTTGGATCTTTCACTATGTTCCTTTTATCGCCATGGCAAGAGTAACATATGTTCATCATTACTACCCTGCTCTTTATTTTGCGATTTTGGTGTTTGGGTTTCTTTTCAATCATCTCACCAATAAGTTGCCTAAGACAGTAAAATTGGCTGCTTATGGTGTGGCGTATACGGTTATCATCGGCGTTTTCATGCTCTTTATTCCAATCTCGTTTGGCATGACGGGCTCATCGGAACAGTACAAGTATCTGAATTGGCTGGTAAGTTGATATCATATTTTCTCTGAGCTATCGACCGAACGTGCACTAACATCATTTAACAGCCTACATGGCGGATATAAGTTTGTTAGATGGGGGGGGGACTCTGGGCAGATGATTGATGGGTTGGCGCATCGGAATGTCACTAGAGAGCTTGGTGTGCTGGGGAAAAGGCGGGTAATAATGGAATAAAATGGTGGCAAAAAAAAAAAGTAGCAATTTCCTCTATTTGTTCATAGGTTCAATTTCATGTTTTTGTTTTTTTTTTCGTTTTCGGGAACTGGCGGGGTGTTCAGTGCTGTATGGGTGGGCAGACGCTACCCGTCGCGTCAAAAAGATTGCGTTTTGGATTCTCTGTCATTGCCAATCTCAGAACCGCCCGAGTGATAACTTGTGTACAGCACTCGAGCATTACAATGGAGTAAAGTGTTTTGATATATACGAGTTAAATCGAGCCTCATCAGGTTCCACAAGGGTTCAACAAAACAGCCGTGCACCGGGCTTTTCAGTTCGCCCATTTGAGTATTGTAGGTTAAACTTGGAATCTTACTTCTCACCACCTCCCCCCCTACCCCAACCTGCCTGGCCCGGCTACCGCAGCTCATATAGGGCCCCCACGCACGACCACCGGTCACCAACCCCAAATGCTAGAAAAGGCTGTACTTTATGCGTGCATCCATTCGCCCCACGTCATTCACACCCTAATATCGTTCATTCGCCCCGAAGTTTTCGGATGCCCCACCCCCACCCCACCCCATCCCGTCAAATACCTCTAACCTCGACTACCAGTATGATATATGATACTGTTCTTCCCATCCCTATTCTACCCGCTGTAACCAAACGAACAAACCATAGCCTCGCGAACCATCACGCACCAACCTAGCTATAGGAAATAGACATCTCAGGCGGCGAAGAAAGAAGGGTTGGAGGGGGGGGGGGGAAGAAAAAAGGGGGAAGGAAAAAAAAAAAAAAAGAGAGTTAGGAATATTATCCACACCCAACTAGCCATACATGTCATATCACATCCGTTACACCGCCATAAACTTACAATGTAAAGCAGGAAAATCCCCTTCCCTCCTCCCTCCAGCCCAAGTTTGAAAGTAGAGAATGGATGAAGAAGTGGGTGCAGGGAAGGGGGGAAGGGATATGCGAATGGGAAGATTAAACACTGCACCTTCTATTCCGCTGCTGCGACGGGACTTGGTATTGCAAGCCGTAAATGAGTCCCTGGTGCTGGTATATGATGGATTGGGTTCTCGACGAGGAGACTTCACCCGGGACCACCGCCAAAGTAAATAATGAGGAGAGAAACGAAGGGAGGGGAAAAAAACATCACCACCCGTCCAAACTTCGTTTTCCTTCCCCGGGAAAAGAATCATATTACTACCACTAGAGCGATCCGGGAGGAAAAGAAAAAGAGGAAAATAAAGGGGGGGGGGACGCAAGGGCAAAGTACAATCAAATAAGCAACCAACACTGGTCAAAAAGAACACGCAAGAAGGGATTCGATCAAAGTTTTTTTTTCCCAGAATATAAGAAGCCAGATGGGACTCCAGGCTCAAAAGATAGAGAGAAGGATGATGACGGATAGAAAGAAAGTAAGAAAAAAAACGAGAAAGAATACAACTGTGCCCCCTACCAGATTCTCAAATGACATTGACAAAACGCACACACCGACCATACAATAAAGGAATTGAGAAATTGGTAGAAGGAGAACAAAAAAGGCTCGAAAGGAAACCCCTGTACTTTCGTCGCCATCCATCCAATCCAGCAGCTGTCCATGATATCTTTGGCCCCCCCCCTTGTTAACGCCCTCGATTGTCAGGATGCTTCAACTAAAAATGCTGTCATCCGATGGGAGGATCTCTTCTTGCTTATCTTAATTATCGCCATCACCAGCTGCTGCTGCTCCTCCGTCTTGTTGCTGCTGCTGGACCTGCGATTGTCTCCTATATGCGCCTCGATTATACGATCCACCGTAACCTCCGCCTCTCCCACGTCCGTAATTACCCCTTCCCCTGCCCCTTCCTCTCCATCCACGTCCGTAGTGGTTGGGCCCACCATCAACACTTCCCTGACCAAAGGTTTCCAGGTTCTTCTTTTGCTCCTCACCCCTCCAGACTGCCCCACCCCTGGGTTTCTCTCCTTCCTTGGCTTCCGCGCGTTCTTTGTTCTCGCACGATATATTATCGAAAAAGCTGGAAAAAGGGTTGTAGAATTTTGCGGGGGGAATGACAACTTCGTCCTTGTTATTCCCATCTACATATCCATTAGTGCCATTGGCCGGAGTCTCCGGATGAGCAACTCTCTCGTCTTCCCCACCTGCGATGACCTCCTTAGCCAAGTCTTGTTTATTAAACTTCGCATTCGCGCTTGCAAAGTCGTAATCAGTACTGGGAACTTCAACTTTACGAAGTTGATTGCTTTGGAAACCGCCACGATAGCTTCTTCCGCGGGAAGCCCCACGAGCAATAAACCCGCCAGTGCCCGGTCCACGGGCCGGGCGCGGTTCCCCACTAGGACCACCATTCGTATCGTTTAAAGCAGGCGCAGGCCCTGCCACGTTATTACCAGCAGGAACAGCGGTCTTCATTGCCAACTGGTTAACCTTGTTAGCTAGATCTTGGACGGCGGCATTGGTATCGTTGCGGGTAGAGGTGGATGCAGAAGCCTCAGTAGATTGAGCGTTGCGGGTTCCGGGTTGGGACGAAGAAGGCGCTGGGGAGCGTGGAGGCCTGTTATGGAAAGGTAGGGGAAGTGCCGGTACAATTCCTCCATGCGCTTTAGGTCCGGTTGGTGCTCTGCTAGCATTTTGCGTCACAGGAGCCGGGGGTGCTGATTTAGTTTCACTATCCTCGGGAGGAGTCGGGGGTTTGGAGCTATCGCTCGCAGTTTGTTGCGCAGAGGCAAGAGGCGCCTGCCTCTCGTTAATCTTAGCGTGCGCGGGTAGCTGGGATTGAGCTACAGAATTTTGCGCACTTGGGACTTGGTGTGTAGGACCGCGATTCATTGGTTGTTGGGTGTGTTGCTGACGGTTAGCAGCCGGCCCGATTGGGGCTTGTGGTGGCGCTCTATTCTGGGGACCATGAGTGGGAGTCTGTTGCTGGACCGATGGAGCTTGCTGGGGAGCCTGGGCTTGGCCTTGCTGCTGGGAGGCCTGATTCTGCTGATGTTGTTGAGCAGGCTGTTGTTGAGCCTGGGGCACGCCGGCAGGAGGTTGTCCTAGCCCTGGTTGCTGGGGACCTTGAGGGGGTGGGTAGGCGCCATACATAGCTCCCTGTTGGTATGGACTGGAACCATAGCGACCCTGGGGCCGGGGGAGGGGGGTAATAGTACGGCGGCATTTGTTGGTACTGGTTGGGAGGCGGCTGGTTCCCTTGGGCATAGCTCGGGGGAGGTGGGCGAGTTGAGCTCTAGTAGTACCAGGTTAGCTACCGCAGTGTGAAGGTACGGTCGAATGGCTCGATTGAACGGCAATATATCGATAAAACTCGAGAGAAGGCAATACACCCTCCGGCTTAAAACATGCAAAAACGAAAACCAGGTCTCAGAACCCCGCAGCGGGGGGGGGGGGGGGTGGAAGTGGGGGTGGGGGACAAAAGACAATAATTCTCCAAACAACATACCCCTAGAATGGCGGGATCATCAGGCACCTGGGGCTGCGGTGGCTGGGGTGCAGTCTCCTCGATCCTTAAATCCTTGACGTCGCCACCGCGAAAAACGATATATTCGTAGACATTGTCTGAACCAGCGATTTCCTTAGTAGGATCGCCGCGTCTACCTTCCGTCCCGTGAGAAACAACTTGTTCTAGGGCCACGGTGTGATTTTCGGAATTGATGTCATGGAGACGGCCGACATAGCTAATTAGCGAGAGAGGAGGGTTGGTCAGTTCGGAGAAGAAGGAAATAAGCGGCCGACGCAAGCAAGCAGAAGAGTGTATACCGGATATCGCTCCTGGAGATCAAGGAGATCCGGGAGCTATATAGAGGGGCAGATGGTTTAGTTCGAGTTTTCTATAATGATTTACCAAACAAAGCGATGGGGAACTAACCCGATAAATTCAGACATGATTAAAGCGAGCAGGGTCAACGACCCGGAAATGGTATGGCGATTTTAAGAGAATGTGAGCACCTATTTAAGGATCGCTCGGTTAGATGATGGGTACGGAGATGAGGGTGTGCAGGATTGCTTTTGGAGCATACAGATTGCAATGAAAGATGTCGTGGAGGATGGAGGCGTGGGTAAGGGTAGAGCAGAGAAGGTGGTGGTGGTTGAGAGAGAAAGAATGGGAAGAGAGATGTTTGGGAGGTAGGAGAGGGCGGCAGGTTCTGGGAAGGAGGGCAAAGAGTGGATCAGTTGAGCCAGTGAAGCGCCTCAAGGGATTCACGCTTTCACTCAGGCAGGCCGTGTCACCTATCCTATAATTCACAAGAAAAAGGCCTAAGTTATAGATTATTCCATTCAAGACTCCAATTGATCGCTTACTGTGCGGTTACACCCATAACTATTGAGGATTGGCCATTGCGTTGATATGAGACTGTCACCCACACAGAGGCTCATTCCCAAAAATACGCAAGCGTCCAGGGTCCCGCCACCACTGCTTCCAACTTTCTCCCCCATTCACTCCTTCCCCCCCACTACAATGAAACAGTTATGACCTTCTCACTCGTTAGCTTCAACCACCCAACCCGAGAATGACCAGCCAGTCCTTCCCACAACCTGCCGACTTGGAGAGTTTCGATGCCATCGACGCCTATGATTGGGGGTCGGACCGGGAATTTCAAGTACATCCAACCTAATCCTGACCCCCCCCTCTGCGCATTTAAGGAGAGAATGGGGAAAAAGGCTCACATGCTCTGCGGTAGACCGGTCTGCAATCGATCCTCTCATCGGTCCCTTCGCCTACAGCAGAGCAAAAAGAAGGATTAACCTTGCGGGCAAAATGCTTCTTTTACTCAAAGTAACCCACCCCAAGTTAAGCCCTCACTCGTCAAGAACAAGACTGACTAAATGCTACCTGCAGAATGTCCGGCATCAGGATCGACTACAACGCCTACAGAGCCCGTATTTCCGGGGGAAAGCCTAACCCCACTGCCACTACTGCTACCATTGCCCCGGCAGTCCCAGAAACCCCCCAGGAATTCGCGCAGAAAGAGCACAGTACCCTCTTGGACAGCACCAGCGAAGAGCCCATCCTAGATACCACAGAGCCCGACGTTAACAGCGAGAGATTCCCCCTTAGCGATCCGGACCCTAACACCCCCGCCGCCTCACCTGGAGGAACTCCCGATGCGCCGTACCCGAATTCGTTCGCGTACATTGTTGAACTGATTACAACGGGCCAGCCGATACCTGGAATCAAGCATATCCCCAGTGAGCTCAACTCGGCACCGCCGAGTGAGCCGGTTCGCGCGAAGAGGTTAAAACCTTGGGAGAGGGCTAGCGGCGACAATCCTAGCCCTAGTGCGGGGGTCGCTGTGAGAGGAGGTGGGGGGGGAGGTGGCGGCGGGGAATAAATGCGGGCTCGAATTTTATTTGGTGCCTTCTTGATTCGTAAACTTGGGCGGAAGGAAAGGAGGGAAGCGAAGAAGCCCCAGATATCGCCGAGATACTGCATCTCTAACACCATATTATTTGTTTTACAGTGCCTTAGCACATCACGAGAAAGAGCGCCTACACTCATGTAACTTAGCCTAATTCTCAGACTACGAATAAGAAAATATCAGGGTATTCAAGATCACCCGAAGAACCACCCAACGATTGAATGATTGATAATCTGCCTGGACGCCCCCCCTACCTACTGGATCCGATCACCGTGCATAATTTACCAACATCAGATTCTTGCCGCAGTACGGTAACAACCAGAGCCTCACCCATCACTCCCTATCGTACCATACCAGAACCTCCCCAAAACGAAAACAAACCCACCATCACAACCACCACCCGACCACCACAACTAACCCCACCGAACCGAACCGAACCGAACCGAACCAAAATGTCCCCACCAACACCCTACCCTCGCTCAAACCTCAAGCGCATTGTGAAGGCCCACAGCAATCTCCGTATCTCCAGGGATGCCGACGTGATGGTCAGTCTCCCCCATTCCTCCGTCCATCGCATACTTATCCGCCTATCCACCCACCTACCTGTGAATCGGCGGGGCCAGCTAACTAGGTGAATGGTGGTTCGATTGGTTGGTTAGATATACCTCGACTACGTCCTCTTCATGCAGCAGCTCATCCACGAAGCTAAGGTCCACGCGCGCGCCGGTGCTAACGGGACTGTGGCGGCGGGGGTTGGGAAGAAGAAGGTTGGGATTACAGCTAGGGATGTTAGGAAGGTTTCGCAGGTCAGTTTTTCCCTCTTTCTTTCTTTCTTTTTTTGCTTAGGGAGTAGGAACTGACGGTGGATAGGTTACATTGAGGAAGTTCAAGGGGTAGTCTAGTAAGCTACCAGTATTGGGTAATCTAATGGTGACTGTAGATGATGGCTGCGGGATTGTACGATAATCACTTCACTTCCGGGTTCTGGGCTTGGCATTCTCTTATTCTGATAACTTGACTTATTGCGGACTGGTATCATGGGTGCCGAGTACTCGAGTACGTACGGTATGGCACTGGTACCATATTCTAACTTGTGATACCTGTACCGCAAGTACCGTATATATATCATTGAGGCCCTTCCAAATCTCATCGCACTCACGTCCGCACCCATGAACACCGAATCGGCGAGATCCATAGGTATAGGGCGATATGTCACGGTCTCGCGCGGCGCTTTCGTGCTGTCACAAGTCACTGCGATAGGGTTTCTCTAGAATTTTCCATTGAGCCCGGAGATATAGAAAATGATTGCACAGCAAACGAGTGATAGAAGCCGGAAGAAAATTCACATACGTTAACGTTAAGAGGGAAACAGGAGAGAAGAAAGAGAGGTACAGAAAAACAAAATGACGTTGGACTCCCAGGCCTCCCTTCGTTTCACGTGTAATACGGCCACCATTCACCAACTCCCTTCCACCTACTCACACATCTCACATCACCCCTACGTTCTCACAAAGCACCTTGAGAATATCTCCACCGGGCCATTAATTTCCATCGACACTCCACAGTAAAAACCCACGCCCCAGCTCCCATTTAAAATCCGCCGCCTTTCAAAGAATAACGCAGAAAGCAGTGTTTCCATCCAAGCAACCAGAGAAAAAAGGGGAAACCGAGACTAGACATTCCACGAAAACGGAATACTAGTCGGATGTCTAGTGCAAAGTTTTTTTCTTTTCTTCTTGATTATCTTTGAAGTTGAAATTAGTCCGGTGGGCAAAAAGAAGAAGAGTAATTGTTTAACAGCACCCGCCGGCAGATCCCTGCTGGACACCTGTGCCTTGCTGGACCGAGACGGTGGGCTTATTATTGACTGTAGTAGACCCCATGCGCTCCTTAGAAACGGTCAGTCTGCGGGTATTTCTCACACCGTACCATATAATCAGCCTACCTTAATCTGTCTAGCCATCGTTAAGAAAGCCTGCTCGACATTGGTAGCATTCTTTGCCGAGGTCTCCAAAAATGGGATTCCAAGACTGTCCGCAAATTCCTACTCACGAGACATGGTGTGTCAGATCTAAACGTTATCATGTGATAGTCTCGAACGTGACCAACCTTAGCCACTGTGTACTCGACGACTTTTTTGTCTGCGATATCACTCTTGTTTCCAACGAGGAGTTTGTTGACACCTTCAGTGGCGTAGCGGTCGATCTCCTGGAGCCACTGCTTAACGTTGTTGAACGAGTCTGGATGGGACAGCCATCAGCAAAATATCCGGTGACGCAAGCATGACAAGGTCATCTAGCATACCCATATCGGTCACGTCGAACACAACACAGATTCCATGAGCACCTGAAAGTCCCAGAGTCAGATCTAGTCGCCTGTTCAGGTGAAAAGAGAGGGCAAACCTCTGTAGTAGGAGGAAGTGATGGTTCTGAAACGTTCTTGTCCGGCGGTATCCCACTGTAGGAAACGTTAGTCAGCAACAAGACCCTGCAAACTGCATATGTCAGGGGCAAGAAAACAGGGAAGAAAAAGAAAGCATACAATTTGGAGTTTCACGGTTTTGGCATCGAGTTCGACAGTACGAATTTTCTAATGGAGTAAATAGTCAGCCGGGAAGGTCCATCACACCGACAGAATAGTTGGCGGCACGAGATGCATTGGGGGACCAACAAAGTCGACACCAATGGTGGAGATATAGCTCTCGGTGTAAGTATCATCAGCGAATCTAAGCAGCAGACACGACTTTCCGACTCCTGAGTCACCGATGAGAAGAAGCTTAAAGAGGTAATCGTATCTATCACAAACCGTTCCCGTTAGTAAGCCATGTTAGGGATAAACAAAGAATGCTCCGAGTGGATTTCGGTCTCAAGGCGGGCTAGTAATGACGGCCCATCTTCCACGGGAAAGGGAACTCAGAGGCAGAGGAAAGCGGAGAGAAAGGGCTCTGCGAAGAGAAAGTTTGAGTTAGCATTTGGGTCGTCCCGATAGATCCGGTGGTGCAGGGTAACGATGATAGGAGACGAAGACTCGAAAAAAAAAGGTTGCAAATGAGGAATAGAGAATGAGGGGAAGGTAAGGAGGGGTAGGTACATACTACTCGGGATTCATGGCGACAGAAGTTTTCGGTTATCTTGAGCTCGTTGAGAGGGAGCGATGGAGGGGAAGGAAGAATATCAGCGTAGCAGTTAGAAGCTGACGACGTGTAAAGAGGCAGGCAGCAGATGAGGCTGAGGTGATTGAGATGAAGAGGATATTTGGCTGATGGGGTTGGTAGAGGTAAGGTATCTTTTGCTCAGGAGGTAATGAGCTGTTATCTTAGAGGGTTCGTTGCCAGTGGTGGTAGTAGTGGTGGTGGTGGTGGTTGATTGTGGTTGTGGTAGGTAAGAGGGGGGAGAAGGGGAGAGAGAGGTTGGAGTGACCGAGCGGAGGAATTTCACTTGTCAGGGCTGTGTTAGTGATGGAGCGAGCGAACGGCGGGTCGTTGACTCGTTGGTTGTAGAAAGGAAGGTTAGACAGGACAAATCCGATAATATCCTACCGGCAGCCGGTAGTCACTGCTAGAGTTTCGCTTGCTTCGGGGTCCACTCAAAAACTGCGAGGAGTCGAAAGCGTTCTCTTCTGTTTTTTTTCTATCTCTATCTCTACCATGCTCAAGTGAAGGGAGACGAATTGCGATTGGGTTAGACGCTGAGTGAGGCCTGGAACTATAGACTGATGCTCGACACTTCTCCTATCAGATGATTGGCTGTGTGGCGTGCCGTGCTGCCTTGCATACTCTGGTCAAAAGTGCCACTGTGGCCCTACAAGTACTCGTACTCGAGTACAGTACCGCTACCGGTATGCGTATTCACACTTTTGGCTTGCCAAGAGTGCCTGCATGCGAGAATACAATACTTGTAAAATGAATTCTCATTTTAAAAGTCCACAAAATCTCTCCGAACTTTGATTGAAGAGAGAGGGGCTCCATCTAACCCTTGTGGATAACCACCACAGATATTACCACACCCCGCGAGAATTTCTTTCCTTTATCATACACCCTTCAGTAACTGTTGATGATAATGTCATACCATACCTGTGCATGCATTTCTATGTGTGGCATCGGCGGGGGCTGTCCATTCCATGTTGACTCTCCCGCGTCCTTTATCAGCACGTTCTGCGCCGTAAGTTTTCAGCCCATCTTTTTTGAGCTTCCTGGAGCATCTTGCAAAGTTGGTTATTCATCGAGATTGGATTTTTGGCGTATAAGCCGGTTCTAAGAATCCTACAATGTATATGCACATGTACTAGCTATAGAAAAACAGTATCAGAAAATCTAGATAAGGCGCACATACATAGTATGGTATCATACCGCAAAGCATTAAAACATTACTATACTGCACTCCGCAAACCTGAAGCACTCAAGTACTGCAACATTCAAACTTGCGGACCGCCCGGAAAAGCTATTGTAAAAGATCAATGATGGTAAATTGAGGTGGACCCCCTGTACTACTTCGTTTGGAATTAACGCCGCATGGCCGCTGGCGCTGCTGGTGCCCCGGCCGGCAGTTGATACACTAACCCTCTTATCCATGACCGCAAGGGCAACATCCTGTTACACATTCCCCATAACGATACGTCTAAGTTACGTTCCTACTATATACGGGAGCATATGTAGATCAACGTGTCAGTAACTAATGTCTCTGAAAAGTCACCATCGCGAAGCCGAGCGAGTGAGTATTCGTGACTTTGACAAGTTTCTTTCATTTTTTAGATTGACAGAATCCGACGGAAAAAGGCTAATATTCCTAAGCCTTGACATGCTCCTTGACCCATTTCCCAACATCCTCCTGGTCTCTCTGGACCCAGTTTGCATTGCTCCTAATACTGTCACCGATGATTGCCAATCCTTTCTCGTATCCGTGGGTATCCTTATCGGCGAAGAACTTCTCGATGTCCTCCTTCACATCCAAACTTGCGAACTTGTTCAGACTATTCTTTAAGAACCGATCCAAAACGACCATGTTACCGGAAAGTTGCTGGTAGATAATTCCCCAGTTTTTCTTGATGAACTCCCATAGAGCATGGCGTGCATGAACATTGTTCGATAGGGAAATAGCGGGAGTATGCTTATCCTGTGTCTTGATCTTATCAGACATCATCAACTCAAGGAACTGTTGGATTAACTCGGATTTTCGGACTCGGCCGAGGGCAGAGAGACAAATCTCCTTGCCATCAACCGCAGAAGTAGAGAGGTATTCGTTCAAAACGGCATCGTATTCCTCCTGGCCACCCTCGGCTATAGCAATGCGGAAGACGGCAAGGCGAAGATTAGGGTGAACAGCGGACCTGTCTTTGCCAGAGGTATAAAGTTTGAAGCGGCGTTGGGCTTCCGCGATTACCCCCCTATGACCAGAGCCCCCGGCAGCGCTAATGAGAAGAGCACGAAGTCTCCCAGTCAAGAAATCCTCGCCTTCCCCGTAATCCCATCCAATCCTTTCAGCTGCAGGTGTGACGAGGTCGAGAGTGAACTTTTTTAATCCATCCCTGATCTCCTGTGAGCACTCGGAGAAAACTGATCTCAACTTCCCAAGCTGCTCAATAAGTTCCGCCCAAACAAGGTAACTCTCTTCGTCTTGAAGCGCGGCCAAAAATGATAACAGGCCTGTCGTAGAACCAAGACCAGAAAGTGCCATGGCGGCAGCATCAGCAATTAGTCCAATTCTGTCTGCTACACTGAGTTGCTTTCTCATCTCCCCTAGCTTCACGAGTCGTTCTGCTGGGTAGTTTACCCTGTAGAATCCGTTCTGGTTGTTGTTGAGCTTGTAGCAATTGGCATTAATCCCTTTAATCACCGCTTCTTTGGATGTGAGAGCCGTAATCCTCTCTGATCCTGCGGCGAAGGACTTCTCGGACAAGAATAGCGGCACCCACCAGGTCGTCTGGTCTTCCTCAGGCTTCACATCCCCAGTGCTTAGGAATCTCTTTTGCTGAAGGAGAATGTGGCCAGAATCTTCAGTGACTGTGAGAACAGGGAAACCGATAGATTTAATCCAGTTGCTCTGTTGCATACATCATTTAGTCGACTGTTTTGTGAATTTTATAAGGGTGGAAAGCACCATAAAAGTAGCAACGTCTGTCTTTGCCTCTTCGCTAAGGGCAGCCCACAGGTCTACGGTTGTAGCATTTCCGTAAGCATGCTTTTTCAGGTACCTGGCAACGCCCAACAGGAAGGTCTCGACACCAAGATGGCTACTGAGCATACGAATAGTACCAGATCCCTATATCATTCCTTTGTTAGCCCTTTCTACTGCCTTGACCACCTGTTGCACGTACCTTGAGGTAACTAATATGGTCAAAGATCTGGTCAATATCGAGAGCATTCCTCACGGGCACCTCAATAGGGTGGGAACCACGAAGACCGTCAAGAGCGAAAGCTGTTTGCAAGGATTCTTGAGTCTAAGCAACATTCCTTGTTAGTGGGGTTTGACGAGTGATAATGCATGCCTCTAGAAACCCGACGTACAACGAATTGGCCCCAAACGTCCCACTCTGTCGGGATTCTGTTAGTATGAAAGTATCCTACAAAATATCCCTTTCACCATCTCTGGGTTGGGTGAGTACAAACCAGGATAGAAGTGATCAATAGCGTACCAACCAACCCAAGTGGCAAACCTGAATAGTGTAAGCGACTGTGGGGGTTGGTGCCTCGTAGTTGAATCTTACCCTTCGTTTAGCCATAGCTCTGACCACCAGTCCATAGTAACCAGGTTTCCGAACCACTGATGGGCAAGCTCTGGTGAATTTAGTTGGCTGACAGATGCCTCAATTCCTCAATTGCAGGGAGATGACCTTACCGTGTGCAACAACGTATGCAACTCGGTTTTTATAACGGGAGTCAGATGTCTTCTCGTCAAATAGGACAGCGGTAGTTCGGTAAGTGATGAGACCCCAATTCTCCATAGCGCCGTGTGACTAGCGAGAGTTACACCAGTTAGTACCAATTTAGTAGCGTGCCTAGATTAAAACACGGTAACTCATAATTACAAATTCGTGGACTGCTAAAAGATCGACTTTGGGGAGAGGATAGTCGATGCGGAAGATCTATAGCTGAAAATTAGCCTCAAATGAGAGGTGGGAGGAAAAGGGGAAAGTGCGAGACTCGCCTCCGAAAAGTAATCAACAATCTTCTTCGCATTGAGGAGAGCGAAACGGCCCTGTTCCTTCAGACCTTTGGTAGTATAAACTCTCACTGGCAGCTTTCCCCTTCCATCGTATTCGCGGTCTGTGAAGTCCTCCACATATTCGAACTCCCCACAAGCCCAGGCAAGCAGCTATACCTCATTAGTTGTCCTTGGAAAGGGACTTGTAGTGGAAACGTACATATGTGCTCATTTTCGGGACCCGCTCAAAGGAAACTTTCCTGAGACCATCGCCCAGAGGTTTTGATTCCTTCACGGGCTGGTTTGATAGAGCAGTGAAATTCTCCGGAATCGTGATGGAGAAATCGTAGGTGGCTTTAAGGTTTGGTTCATCGAAGCTAGCGGGTGTCGTGCAATTAGCAAACTTAGATTGCCGTGGGTCGAATGGCTTATGAATACCAAGGGAAAGCTCTCCGCGCGTCACAAGACTCGAACTGAGTGGAAAACATCCAGTCATCTTTTCTTTCGTCGTTTTTGTATGCACTTCGATAGAAGCCGGCCATCTTAAAAACATGTGTTAGCGTTTCGTCTTCCGGCGGATAGGCGGTCTATCAACCTCATGATTAATAGAGCCCGAGAAATTTATTTCTAGAACACCCGTTCCGCCTCTCGGGGTTGGTCTCTCAAGAGAAAGTTTCGCTACTTCGGTCTTCTTGTTACATTCGATCTTGGAAATAGTGATGTCTGCACACTATTAGCTCTCGCCTGGCCCACAAGACTATTACAGCGAGCTTCTTACCACCATCCGAGCCATCAACAGTAAGGCGCCCTCCATGAAGACTTAATTCCTTGCAGTTGAGGGAAATAGAACTAGCTTGGTGCTTGAACTCGAGGGAAATCCTGACCTGGCCATCGTACGTAAATGCGTTAAGGTCGAGTTTAATCAAATCCAGGTCATAGTGGACCGGCTTGACACTAGCTCGGAGGTTAGCAAACTTGGGTGGGTGAGGTGGGAAATTCAGGATAAGCTACTCGGATGGTAAGGTCTCGCGATCAGTGGTGGATGCCATTTTTGTGTGCTGGTAAGTGATGGGTTACGGGAGCAATTAACTAGGCAGTGGTGGATGGAGTGATGCTTTTAGAGATGAGTCTGGTCGTTGGAGCCTGATGAGGCGGGGTGGAGGGGTAGCAACTCTCCGCTCTTGCCTTGTCTTCTCTTCTTCTGCTTACACCATGGATTGCCGCATTAGACTATCCTACGGCAGGTTGCCATCCTGCCTGTCAGAGGAATTACGTGAAATGCTGGCCCTACCGGTATTTGCTGCACCTCGTATTTCCGAGACGATCTCGATGCACTGATGGTCATCCGCGGTCTATCCTCCGCCTTGGGAACTTGAATGGGGCGACAACATCATGCCCCCTCGCAGTTATTATCGCGAATTGCTTTAGATTACTGGTAGGATACCAGTATCTTAATAAGCTTAATTCCAGTGGGGGCTGGGAGGATTGCTTCGGGGCTGTTTGGCGCACTGTCATTTGAGTTATCCGTCATCTCAAAATGCATTTTGGACCCAAATTGTGTTTTGAGATGATGGTGGTGTTTGGCACAATTTTTATAAACTGTTTTTGCAAAATTTCAAAGTGGTGATTGGGTTAATAGCCATTGCCTGCATGTTAAAGTACTCGTAGTCTACATGATAATGCCTTCTAATATATAAGAAACAAAAAACACTAAGTTGAATACTGGGTACCGTATTTTCCTATTTTTCCAAAAAGTGTTCCGCTAACCACATTTTAAGGTGGCCGTCATCTCAAATGACTATGTGCCAAACAGCCCCTTAATTTTTTTTCACTGCCAGTATTCATTCCCAGGACGGTGTTCGAGTAGTAATGGAGGTTATTAACACAATTGTCGTGATTCACGACGGGAGAGAGGTACTCGCGCGGCCGAGTTGAAGTCGCGCACCCAAAGCTGGAAGTGATCGTCAAGCCAATCGGAAAGAGGATGACATCAGGTATGAGATACTGAATGTAGTAGGATAAACTGGACAATGTGGCAACAGCAATGTGATCACAGCTTGATGAAGCCTATCATCACCATTCTGACTATATCTCTGACCATATCTTTCTTTCCTCAATATGCCATTTACACATTCCGGAGTTGGAAGCTCTCCACAGGTTCCTTTGCTCAAGCATGCTGCCATTTTAGCTCTAAATTGGCATGGAAATTTGTCCTATGCGAGTATTGAAAATAGGTTGGGTGTGAGAAAGAGGACTGCAATGGATATTGTTCATCGTGCAAAGGTAAAATATCATACTAGTACCTATTTGGTCCCTAAATTCAGAGAGCTAAGTGTAATAGACAGGAGTGTGCCTCAGATCCAAGCGACTTTAATGATGTTCTCGCATGTCTTGAAGATAGCCACGGGGGGGTAATCAACCAAGATTTCTGGATAGGTATTCTGAGTCAATCGCTCTTCAAGATTCAAGTTAGAAGAATGAAGAACACTGGTTTATGCCATTTCCTGAAATTGCCAAAGAGCTTGGGATTGTCGCTGCCTGATCAACATTGGAAGAGGTCTTCCATACCCAGCACCATATATTTTGACGTAAAGTGAGCTATAAGCCCTCCCTTACACCAGCCCATATAGAGTCCCGGTTAGCCTTTGCCCATATGGCCCTCCAAATCGCAGTAAATACTATTGTATTTACTGATAAGATATAGATCGAATTTAATACACTATGATGGCAGCAAAATGTCTCCCGCTATGTTAGTCAGAACTCAAATAAGTATGCGATTCATGATCATGATCATGAGAAACCAGCAATTATAGTCATGCTCTGGGGGGCTATCATGTTTAGTCAGAAAGATCCATGTCATGTGTGGGAGCAAGATACAGAAGAGGAAAAGGCTCAGTTTCATCAGACAGTTTTGGATGAGAACAGTTGGCGCTATGACTGGCAACCCCACAACCAATAGCAGGTATATGTTGCAGGTATCTGGTAAGCAGAATATTTACATAATGTGAATGCTGTAGTTGATATTCAAAACCAAGAGGAGGGAAGAACCGGAAGACAGAAATAGAGATGACATAATCCAGAGCAGTTTTTTAAGGAGGAGCAGTTCAGGTTTACAAGTTGTGGAGGGATAAACTGGGTCTTATACAGAGAGCGGGTCCTATATCCAAAGCTTTACCTCAGGCTGTGGATTGATGAAATACAAAGAAAAACATGTATGGCTTTAACCTACCTAGTTGAAGATAATGCACCTGCACATCAGACTGTGCAGCGTGTTGATAAAGAGGAGCGTCTTGGAAGAGGTATTATTACCTTAGACTAGCCATCTAAATAACCTGATTTAAATCAGATAGAACTGCTCTGGAACTATGAGAAAGATGAAATATCAACCTGGAAGTTTGTGGGTGCAAGTCAGAAGACAGTCAACTCAGTGAAGGCGACATTGATAAGATCTTGGAAGGACTTGCCACAGGAAGTTATTGATTAAAAGTGTTTATCATTTCATGCGAAGCTTCAACAAGTTATTCTTCATCATGGCGGAAATAACTTCAATGGTTAGAATGGTTATTAGGAAAAAATTACCTTTATGTTCAACTTCTATGTATAGTCGATCAGGTAGAATTACTGTTGTAGGTACTTTACTCAAGTAATGTGTTCTGATTGGACTGGTGATCATTACTAGATTTGGGTGCACGACTTCAACTCGGCCGCGCGAGTAACGTACCCGATGGCATAGCGAAAAATATGGTACAACGAAAAATTGTTGAAAAAGAGCGGAAACTGGCTACTGAATAGGTGGAGGAGGTAGATTCAAACTTGATTTCACATAATTCTTGTAGTAATAGCTCTTCCTAACTGCTTGTTATTTGCTTGATTTGGGTTTTCATTTTATTAAACCGCTCTGTTGGTAT